GCCCACGTTAAGCTGGCTCAATCATTAAGGGAAACGTTTCCTCTCGAAACATCTCAAGGCAAGAGGTAGGATGACTATGGGTTTGGCAACTCAGCCACTCAGTGTCATAAGGACGAACTTGTTTCGCCCATCTGTCCCCTTCCTTCATAGCACAAGGTGGCTGCCATAGCTTCAGAGTCCACAGAACAAAGCTATTCAGCAGAAGCCATGACCGTGAGCCAGCAGACTCTCCTCCCACGTGACTCCTATCACGTGCCAAGGCTGAAATTAGGAGTTGACATACTCATTCTGTAAAGGATTAGGACAGCAAACATTTTTGGCTTTGAGGTTGTACATTTGGTCACAATCACTCAACTCTGTCTTTGGAATGTGGAAGCCGTCATAGATAATGAGTCAGCAAGCATGGTTGCGTTCCAATAAAACTTTATAAAAACAGGTGGCTGCCTGGATCTGGCCCTTGGGCTGTCATTTACTTACCCTTGCTCCGTACCAGCTACCCTCAAACACAGGATCCAATGACTGTGAACCATGTCACAGGCCATTGGTTACTAATTTATAACAACAATGTCAGTGGCTTCCTCCATTCTCTGTTGGCAGCAGATAAAGAATATTGAAGAGGTTCTAATTCATGACACTGAGCTCAGGATCACCCAAAAGGCAGAGGAAGTCAGAGCACAGCAAAATAAATGAGAAGAAATTTTCAAAGAATTTCTTATTGCCTGATCCTCAAAGCCGATGGTAAGGGAAGACCCAGAACTTGGCTAAACTTTGTTCAAATTAACAAATTTAACATTTAAGAAAATAATTACATTGAGGGGACACTGTAATTCCTCTGAACATCTAAATATCACTATTAATGCTCTATAAATTGTTCTTCTACCTCCTTTTTTTTCTCCTAAATGAAATTTATGACTGAAATGACTTTGGTACTCAGTCTAAACCTCAAAATTTACAGATGAGAAGTCAGAAGCTCAGAGAAGGCAAACTGCTTTTCCCAGATCACATAGTCACTCAAGTGGCAGAACCAAGACCCAAGCCCAGGTTTTGGTAGGTTGTAATATTGTTCAGACTATTTGCTGGCCTTCCAAAGAGAAGGATCATACAATTTCCTGCAGGATGAAGTGTGGCTCTTGGGTGTCGTGTTCTTCCCTGCAGGTGACATATATAAACACAACTCCCTTGCCACAAACATATTGACATGCTCTTGACCATGTGACTTGTTTTGCCCATGAAATGTGACATATGACAAAGTGACATATGTCTCCTCCTTTTTTAAATTCAGTATTGGGATTGAACCCAGGTAGCTCTATCATTGAACTACATCCCCTTCCTTTTTTTTTTTTTTTTTTTTTTGATAGGTCTTGCTAAGTTGCTCAGACTAGCCTAGAACTTGTGAACCTCCTGCCTCAGCCTCCTGAGTCTCTGGGAATACAGGTGTGCACCACCATGCCTGGCTGGCATGTGTCACTTCTGATTGCCATGCCTGTCTGCCCTCTCCCACAAGAGTGATGATGGCCAGAGACAGATGTTAAGCCTGAACCACAGCTGAAGAGGATAGGAAATGTAGCCATCGCTGAACCCTGAGATCTGGGTTCATTTGTTACTGCGGTGGAGCTGGGCCCATTCTGACCAAAACATAGGCTTTCTGACCCTGAATGCTGCTCTTTCTCACCTGGAGAATCTCAKATTTCCAGCAATTTTTACATGGGATTTAACAGCACTGGCTTTCAAGGTGAGCTTGACATGTTATTTCTCAGTTTCCTCATCAGTAGTATGAAGATAACACTGGCACTGCTTAGTCCACTTGAGCTTCTATAACAAAACACCCTACATTAGGTAATTTATGAAAACAGAAATGTATTGCTCTTAGTTCTGGAAGCTGGGAGGTGGCATCCATTGAGGGCTCTGCTTTACACATGGTGCCTTGGATGTGTCCTCCCATGGTGGAAGTGGTAGACAACTCCTTTGAGCCTCTTTCATGAAGCTCTGTACTCATGACCTGAGCCACTCCCAGAGAAGCCATCTCTCAACACTATTGCTCTGGTGCTTGGGTTTCAACATGTGAGGAACAGCAACATTCTGACCTAGTAGGTGAGGACTTTGGGGATATGGCAGGGATTGAGTGAGGAGAGCCTGTTTGTTGAGGAGCCCTGGGTAAATGTTGGTTATTATTATTTGACATCATCTCTCCCTGGCTGACTTTGCAGTGATAAGCCKTGGTCGGGGTCAGGGTGGGGGTTCACTAAAACTGTTCCATGGTCTACATGCAAACAGCCACCTCTCCAAAAGTCACTGTCCCCCACGTGTGATGCTGACAGCCATCACCATCCCTGTGACAGGTCCAGGGGAAAGGGCAGGAGAGGCTCTATGTGGAGGGGTCAGGAGCAGGGCCCCTGGAGTCCCAGGGGATGGGTTCAAATCCTCTGTCTGTGCCTTTCTTCCTGCACGCCTGTAGCTAAGCTCCTAACCTCAATGAACCTTAGCTTCCATCTCATGGGGTGAGGTAAGGATTCAGTGAAATGATTCATGAAAAAATGCTTATCACGGTGTCTGGCACACTGCAAAGGCTCAGCAGATGTCGGGATCGATATCAGTATTCTTTCCTGCCAGTACCAGCCAAAAGAGTGGGCAGGAAAGGAGCTGCAGGAGGTGATTCATCCCTCAGGGCTTCTGAATGAGCAACAGGGATCATTGCAACTTACCTTTGTCCTCACGGATACACCTTGAAATCGGGGGCTGATGGCCTGGATGGTGCCAGGTTGGTACAAAATCAAGCATCCTCCYCCACACCACACAATTGGTATGGATTCCCATGACTGACAGGGACCAACAGGTCTAGTAGACTTATCACGTGGGTCACCGGACATCCAAGAAGGTGCTGGCTGCACTYAGCCTGCCTTGAGGATGAGGGTTTGATGACCTCAGATCAGGGTCACACATCATGGGGGGAAGTGCTGATGGTGTAAAAATACACTGTGCCACTTTACAGGGAGTCCACGCTTGGCATGGAGATGCCCACCAAAGGAACCCCCTTACTCATGACCTTTTCAGCCACATCCTTCCTGAGAGCACACCCTCCATGCTGAACTGCTGAGCTGGAGCTTTAACACACTCACCAGACTGGGAGCTCTGCCTGGGCCCAGGAGTGCTGGCCTCACCTGCTCAGGGCCTGGCCAGAGGTAAACTGGAGAAAGATCTGTTGGACATAAGCCCCTAAATCCCCCCTTACCATCCTAGCTCTTATCTACTAGAAATCTCAGCATTTCTCCTTTAAACCTTAACATGCCAACGTACCTGGAAGGGGAACCCACCAGGCTCTGCTTGTGTTTGAGAGAGCTCATCAGTTGTTGCCCTTTGGGTTGCCACAAGTGTTCCTTGAATGCTCACGTGTCAGGTTCTGCCTTCCTCCACATTTGGAAGGACGGGGGAAGTATGAGACTAAAATGGTCAATTTCAATTGTTCACTTGATTGGATTAAGAGTTGCAGATGATTGAGAGGCTTATGGGTGTGTCAATGAGGGTGTGTCTAGGAATGATTGAAGTGTGAGAGAGCCAACTGAAATGGAGACCCTCCCTAAGCCTGGGCAGCACCATCCAGTAGGATGGTGGCTTGGATGGAATAAAAATTGGAAGAACCAGGAAGCAACAGCAAATGCAACTCCACTCTTCTTGAAGGGATTCTTGATTGCTGCTGAGGTCATCTGAGGATATCCGACACTTCTTCACTCTTGACAAAGCAGACTCTGCCAGTGATTCTCCAGAAGGCTTAGGTCTTGGACTAGGGTAGCACTATGGATCCCTCTTGTTCTAGGGCTTCAGCTCTTGGATGGCCCAGCTACTGGTTCCCCCAGCTCTCCAGACTGCAGACGGCCAYTGTGGACTATCCAGCTTCTGGTCATGTAATCCAATCTAATAAATTCCCTTTTTATAATTATACTTCCTGTGAATTCTGTTCCTCCACAGAACCCTGACTAGAGAACACTTATGAAGACTCAGAAGGGGAACAGAATGAAGGGTGCGGCATGGAACTATCCAGAACTGGGGTGTGCCCCTCGGCAAATATTACACAATGTTCAATAGATTTTATACTTTTATCCYCACCAAATGTCACCATGAATTAACAGAACTCACTCCTGGGTTACTGGGAATGCATCTTTCCTGCATCCATCATAGCAAACCTTGAGGTTGGAAAGAAAATCTTTCATTTGGTGAATGATTGTGTAGGACTATTACAGAGTCAAGGGAGAAGACAATGAAGATCTATGAGAAGAAACAGTGTGGAAATTGGAATATCTTCAATAAAATAATTGCAAGTCAATATTTCAGGGTAGTTTAATTTCCTATCGCATTTTAATGACCAATAAAGAAGATATAAAAATGTCATTTATAGAGAAACTCTAACATTTTTGTTTTCCTGGTTATTTTAACAGATCAATTGGAACATACAATATGATTTTCAAAATAATTTTTTTTTTTTACCAAACACTATAATCACTCATGCTACAGATCTGTGTAGTTACTGTTTATCATGCAGTCAAGATAGAAGTGAATAGGAGTTAAACAGGAAGAGAACTCTACTCTTTTCCCTTCTGATAACAAGATAAGGAAACCTTTGTAAGCTCCATGCCTAGGCATTTTCCCATTCTGTTTGCTTTGACTGATTTTCAACAGAAAGTTACAATGTTTCCATTCTCAGGTACTTGGATGATATTGAGGGGCCCTTGAGGTTTTAGGAGGTGAGGGGCAACTTTTTAATCCTTTAACTCCCATCTGCCTCTGTCCACCACCCAGAACCAACCCCAAGCCTTCCAGCTGAGGTGAAGTTTCACGGGTTGGGTAGGAAAGGGGACACAACTTCAGGCCCAGATGGACTCTGTACTCCAAGGGTGGGAGGGGCTGTGGCCAGGGCACCCAGCTGAGCGGATAGCTCCGGCTCCTGCAGACTCATCCTACTTATCTCACACACCCTCCTCCTGCACTCAGATCAGCCCCAGGGATTTTTACAGTCGGACTTCTGACGCCAGTAGCATTGCAAATGCAGAATTGGGCTTCTCAGCAAGGACTTCTGGTTTGTCAAACTCAATCACCTAAAAGAGAAGAAGAAATGAAATTAAAAAAAAAAAATCACCCACCATAATGCCCAAACCACTGAAGGCTTTGGGGAGGTGAAGCCGACCACAGCTTTCTGCACCTTCCCATTTTCCATGACCAGGACACGGTCGCAGTTGAGAACGGTGTTGAGGCGGTGGGCGATGGTCAACACCGTGCAGCCTTTGAAGGCGTCTTTGATGGTACTCTGAACCAGGGTGTCTGTCTTGGAGTCCATGGAGGCGGTGGCTTCGTCCAGGAGAATGATCTGTCAAGGAAGAAACATTGTAAAAATCATGCTAAGCCAAAGCTGTGCCAAGAGGGAAATTCACAGCCTCAGCTCTATTTATTAAAAAGAGGGAGAAAAGCATCCATTTTTTAAAAAAATTACAAAAGAAAAGTGAAAGAACAGTCAAATCACACCCACTTCACCTTCCTTAGAGAGGCTTGCTGGAGGAACAAGGCTGTATGTTCACCAGCCTCCTTTTTTTTTTTTCTTACTTTGTTTTTAAAGAGAAAGAGAGAGAGAGAGAATTTTTTAATATTTATTTTTTAGTTATCAGCGGACACAGCATCTTTGTTTTTATGTGGTGCTGAGGATCGAACCTGGGCGCACACATGCCAGGCGAGCGCGCTACCTCTTGAGCCACATCCCCAGCCCAGTAGCCTCCTTTTTTTAATGGTGTATTCTAATGTTACAAATATGTAGAAAGAAACCTTGAATTCATCTCATTTATTAATTCTTGATTTTAATTCTTGCGCTTTAGGAGTCTCATTAAGGAAGTTGGGGCCTAATCCCACATGATGGAAATTAGGGCCTACTTTTTCTTCTATTAGTCGCAGAGTCTCTGGCTTAATTCCCAGGTCCTTGATCCACTTTGAGTTGAGTTTTGTGCATGGTGAGAGACAGGGATTAATTTCATTTTGTTGCATATGGATTCAAACTAAAAAGCTTCTTCTCAGCAAAAGAAACAGTGAGTGAATAGAGAGCCTACATCTTGGGAGCAAATTTTTAACCACTGTACATCAGATAGAACACTAATCTCTAGGGTATACAAAGAACTCAAAAAGCTAAACACCAAAATAACCCATTCAATAAATGGGCCAAAGAAATGAACGGACAATTCTCAGAATAGGATATACAATCAATCAACAAATATATGAAAAAATGTTCAACATATCTAGCAATTAGAGAAATGCAAATCAAAACTACTCTAGGACTTCATCTTCAGCCAGAATGGCAGCTATTATGAATACAAACAACATTAAGTGTTGGAGAGGATGTGGGGGAAAAGTCACACTCACACACTGCTGATGGGACTTCAAAATAGTACAGCCAATATGGAAAGCAGTATGGAAATGGGACCACCATTTGATCCAGCTATCCCACTCCTTGGTCTATACCCAAAGGACTTAAAAATAGCATACAAACATTGATGGGACACAGTCACACAGACACAGCAGCACAATTCACAATAGTAAAACTGCGGAATCAAACTAGATGCCCTTCAGTAGATGAATGGATAAATAAAATGTGAGATATATATATATACACACACACACACACACACATACCGTGGAATATTACTCAGAAATAAAAGAGAAGAAAATCATGGCATTTGCAGGTAAATGGATGGAGTTAGGGAATATAATACTAAGTGAAGTTAGCTAATCCTCAAAAAACAAATGTTGAATGTTTTCTCTGATATAAGGAGTCTGATTCATAGTGGGGTTTGGGAGGGGGAGCATGGGAGGAGTAGACAAACTCTAGATAGGGCAGAGGGGTGGGAGGGGAAGGGAGGGGTGTGGGGATAGGAAAGATGGTAGAATGAGATGGACATCATTACCCTAAGTACACGTATGAAGACATAAACCATGTGACTCTACATTGTGTGCAACCAGAGATATGAAAAATTGTGCTCTCTATGTGTAATATGAATTGTAATGCATTCTGCCATCATATATAACAAATTAGAATAAAATTTTTTAGAAAAGGAACCTTGAAGAGACCTTCAGCAAACCAGCATGGGGTATAAAAACAACACTTAGATACATTTGCTACTGCTGCTGTAGCAAATGACCACAAACTTCGAGGCTTAAAATGACAACAAATATATCATTTTATAGTTTTAGAAGCCAACAATCCCCCAAATCAAGATGTCATCAGGGCTGCGTTCTTCCAGCAGACTCTTGGGAAGAAAGTGCTTTGCCCTGCCCASCTTCTAGAGGCCACCTGCATTCTGTAGCCCATGGTCCCTTCCTGGAATCACACCTCCTTCTCTCTTTGACTCTCCTGCTTGCTTCTTAAAAAGACTTGTGAATAGACCAGGCTCACTGAGATACAGGAAAGTCTCTCCATCTCAAGGCCCTTAACTTAAGCCTATCTTCAAAGTTTTTTCTGCCATGTAAGTGAACATATTTTATAGGTCTGGGGTATCATGGCATAGACATCTTTTTTTTTTTTTTTTTCCTTTTGTAGAGGGAGCATTGCTGTGCTTACCACAGAACTGATTTGATTTTACAAATTAGAGAGCTTAAACTCCCACCTCTGCTGAATCTCAGTCCAGTTACTTTTCCATGGCTCCATTCCCTCATGGGAAGGGGAGTTATGCCTTATTATGAGAAAGAAATGGAAAGACACAGAAGCACTTAGCATGAGCACTGCCATAGGAGGCACCAAGCACAGTCCTGGCTCCCTTTCCCCTGCCACCAGCACATCTACAGAATACACACAGTGAGTCCTACCCTTGATGAGGATTCAGAGTGGGATTTCCTAAACAATGGCATTCTCCAAATCAGTAAGCAAGGCTAGCTAAGTCACTGAAAAAAAAAATGGGAATGTGTTTTACAAATTGTGAATGCTAGCATTCTGTTGGCCTTCTTGAGTGTCCTGGGTACCGTTTCTGAGGACACAGAATTGTTCGGGGACAAAGGGAAAAAGTTGAGAGACAGATTTTTCAAACTCAAACCACTGAGGGGAACAGAGAGAATACCTAAGCAAGACCTCCTGGTGGGGCAGCCCAGGAGAGGAAGATGCTACTGCTGAAAATGGCTGTTATTTTTCAATTTTTACCCCTCACAACTTTGACTTAAGAGAAAGTGATCGGTTTTTAAATGGCTCAATTGCTCTGTCTTTGCTGAAAGACAAACGCCGGGCCCCGTCTCCTGGATTGAGCTGCACTGCAGGAAATATCCAAAATTTGACCAATCCATTTTCCGTGCTGTTTCCTTACTTTTGAATTACGGAGAAGGGCTCGGGCCATACAAAGCAGCTGACGTTCCCCTACCGAGAAGTTCTCCCCATTTTCTGTGACTTCTGCTTGCAATTTTTCCGGGAGTTTCATTATCTATAAAACATAGAAAATGCCACATTTATGCGGATGATCTATAAAATTGTCCTGAATCGTCTGTATTGATTGCCCCCTTCTCTTGCATTTATCAGCTTGCTTTATWTTACTGTAGAAAAGAAAGTGCAAAACAACAATCATTTCAATATTGCAAACAGGCACCAGGGAAAGACCAGGGAGGAGGCGGACATTAATAATTTAAAATCACAGCGTGACTCATAGAACCCCGTAGACAGCTCACCAAAAGAGTACAAATGATGCACAGACGGTTCCAGAGAACACACAAACAAGGAGAAATGGCTTTTAGGGTGGCTACTGTGGGACAGGAACATTTGGGGCTGACAGGGTCATGGGCAAGGGCTGATTTATTCAGTGCAAAAAGCCAGAGTGACTTTGAGAGATGCTCATGTTGGCACCATGTGGCTTCATAGGCAGGATGCTCACCTGCTGACCCCAGCTGGGACTGCAGCTCTGACGGGGAGGCTCCCCGATCACAGATGACTCAGTCTCCTCAAACTAGCCATATTCGTCATTCCCAGGACAGGCCATACCCCCTTATCTTCCTGGGGCTTATCTGTCCTGATAAATGAGGCCACTGGCCTCATAATAAGGCATAACTCCCCTTCTAGAATCAGCTGGACTTGGATTCATGTCTCTATTCTGCTAYTCACTGACCTGGACATGTCTTTTCCTTGAGCTTTAATTTCTGCACCCCTAAATTGAGGGGTAAGAGCACCAACCTCAGAGAGCTATTGCAAGGACTGAGTGAGCTCAATGCACGTAGGACACTTAACTGGATCATTGCAGAACCATAATAAACAGTGCCTGTGGCTGCTTTTTATRTAAAAAAGAAAAAGAGCAAATAAGGACTGTATTCTACTGACGTATGTGGCATCCACAAAATAAACCTGGCCTAGTGCTGTTCCAAGTGCTTGTCAAATTTAAACCTGGACCAGGTATCTGGGGGAACTGAGGCTGGGAAATGGACTCATCCTGAACAGTCCCAGAAACCTACTGTGTCTTTCATGAATGTTCTCTCCAGAACCTGCCAGAGCATCTCATCGGTGTGACTCTCAAAGGGATCCAAGTTGTACCTGCAATAAAGGAGAGGAGAAGGAGCTGGATTTCCTAGGGCGAGAGAATGGGGGTTGGGGGGTCCTTCCAAAGACAAGAACATGGGGAAGGAGTGGGATGCTGGAAGGAGCCATGGGCCAAGGAATGCAGGTGGCCTCTAGAAGCTGGAAAAGACAAAGCAATCGTTTCTTTCTGGGGCAGGTAGGGGAGAACAGGAGGGGGCAGGTGTGGAGCCTGCAGCTCCAAGAATAGTGCTCAGCCCTGGCCATGATACCAAACACCCACAACTCTGCAATGAATCAGAGACCACTGAGGCAGACGGAAATGCGAAGCCCTGCAGAGAGGAAGGCACAACACTTGGGCCTCTCCATGTCCCTGGGCAGCAAAGTAGGTTTGACCTTCCATAAATTCTTGGCAAACAGAGAGATAAAGCCAGTAACTCAAGCTGGCATTCCAAATCTACTCAGCCTTCAGAGGCCAGAAGTACCTCTGCGGCTCCCAGGACCTTGCACAGGGTTGAGCATCATATGCAGGCTGTAAGTCTAGTGTCTCAAGATGTATTTCTCCTACAAGCCACGCTATAGAAAACACCCATGCCTCATTGGGTGCTCCATTTGAGGGAATGTCCCTCTCACTGGACCAACTGAGAAGCTGCAGTTTCCTTTTCATGCTTTGACCTCAGATCCTGGGCCCGTGGAAATTGTAATCCTGCTGTTCTTTTACTTGAACAGCTTCTGTTTGCTCTTTAGTAGGAACAAATTAATACACTTCCAAGAGATGGCTTCATATGTAAGGCTACCATCCATCTATTCCATTATGCACTCTGGGGTACCTTTGAAAGAGRCCATTACTAAGAAATGCCGGGATACAGGCATAAAATAAGTTTGTCCAGGGCCAACCGGGATATCTGCTCACCCTACATATCAAAGCATCTTGCTTATTAATAATGGAGTTTCTAAAATGCARAGCTCATGGCCCTATTCCCCATCTCCTTCGAAGGCTTTACTCAAAAAAACAGGTACCAACAGTCCAAGGAGATGCTGCCTCCCYGAGACAGGACAGCCCCAGGCCAGTCAAGCCCTGGGGACTGTGGGTCTGGTTTCACTATCCAAAAATAGGAATGCAGGATGATCAAAAACAGCTACCTTACTGTACCTACAAACAGGACAGGATCCTGGGGGATCACGGTCAGCTTGGTTCGGAGGTCTTCCAAACCGATGGTACAGATATCCACCTCATCGATGAGGATCGTGCCGCCCGCTGGCTCCACCAGGCGGAACAAGGCCATTCCCAGTGACGACTTCCCTGGGAACCGTAAAARGCACAACAACAAATCCAACATTCGTTTGTGCTTCCATCATACCCCGGCATTTAATTAAAGGAATTTTTAATGCAACGAAAATGACTCTGTGTGGATGACTGTGCAGGCAGAAATTCCTCACTTGGGGGGGGAGGGGGCGGAAGCCTTGTCACAGTTAACCTGCCCGTCCTCGMAGGGGCCTTTAGCACACAAGTCATCCTCTGGGCCTCATTTCACCAGAATGATTCTCATTTAATTAATATAAAAACGGATGTGTGGTTGCTTCCAACTCACACAACCATTTAACCTGAAGTCCTAATTTACAGTAAATAGATGTGAGGGAAAATTAGAGCCGATCCAACACACATACCCTTCACTCTCTGGTGTGGCCTAACACATTCAAGGCAGAGTCAAGGAAAACAGCCTGAAAGACACAAAAGCAGGGCTGGTCCTCACCAGAACCTGTTCTTCCGACGATCCCAACCGTCTGCCCACTTTCTATGTTTAGGTTCAGTCCGTTGAGAACAAGGGGAGTGTTGTCTCTGTATCTCATCTGATAGTCTCTGAAGGTTATCTCCCCGTGACTGGGCCAGTCCTTGGGACAGGCGCCCACTTTGAGGGGATGCGTGCTCTCGGGAACACAGGTCTGAAAAGCAGAATAACCAACGACAGGTTAATAACTCTTCATTTCCCCATTTGTTTAACTCGTTCCTTCCTCTAACTCTTGGTCCTGGTGTTTGTGGTGGTGAAGTTGACCCATAAGAACCCTGGTCTCAAAAAAGCTCATGTTCCAGTGGGGACGTCAGATAATGAACAAGAAAAGCAATTAGAAATGCAGACAATGAAACAGAGCRTTGGAACAGCCTTTGGGACTTGTGGGGTGGGCAGAGGAGAGGGAAATAGGAGTATTTGAGGGCTGAAGAAAACRTCTATGTGACATTGGAGCTGAGACCAAGAAATGCTGAGAAGACTTCAGCTAMAAGAGGATTCCAGTTCAGGGCCTTCTAGACAGAGGGGGCCAGAACCAACTTGGGTACTTTGAGGAATAGAAAGTCACGGGGCTGTACTGCTTAAGGAACAAGGGGAGGGTGACRCAGGGGAACAAGCAAGGGACAGCTCACACTGGGCCCCGTGGACCTGGGCAATGTCAGCAGTGTGACCTTGAAGCTGTGGCAAATCCAGGCTGAGACTTGAGATTTGCAGAATTCAATCAGATACAATTTCAGTATCTACCAGAGCTATCAGGGTACTAGAAGTGAAAAGACAAGAATGCAGGATGTCAAGTTCAGTGGTCTTTAGAGTCAAAAGGAAAAGGCATGTAAGTTTCCTTCCTGAGAGTCGAAGAAATGCAAAGTCTAATGAAGGAGATCAGTTTGGCCTCTTTATAAGACCAACCTCTCCTTTGAAGTTACAAAGTTCCCTATTAACAACTAGAAATAGGGATCCCATGTACCCTGTCAGGGTGACTGACCAGCCCAGAWCTCTGGTCCATGAAAAATTTCAATTAGCTGAGGAAATAATTGCATTCTTACTATTTTTAAGCCTTGGAAGATGTAGAATTAAGAATAAAAATATTTAAGAGAAGAATAGCTGGGCTTGGTGTCAYACACCTGTAACTCCAGTTATTCAGAAGGCTAAGGCAGAAGGATCCCAAGTTCAAGGCCAACCTCAGCAACTTAACAAGAATGAGACCTGATCTCAAAAAAAAAAAAAAAAAATAATAATAATAATAAAATTAAAAAGGATGGAGGTGTGGCTCAGTGTTACAATGTCCCTGGGTTCAATCCTTCAGAAAGGAGAGAAAGAGAGAGAAGGGAGAGGGAGCAATACTGTAACCATATATTTAAGAAATCTGCATACTTTGTGTTCAAGTATTTATAACATGTATAGAATTCGGCTTTGTGATTCTAATTCAAAATATAAAATTGAACAATTGATTTAAACACAATTTTAAGTTAAAAGCTTTCTGTTTATATACAGCCTTGGAACTGTCACGAGAACCTAAAGCTCACCATATTTACAAGTTTAATTTATTAGATTTATACAAACTCAGGAAGGCTTGTTTGTTAAATCAGATTATTGAGGTACTTAAAAGGAAATTGAAAGTATTAAATTTTAAAATGCAGTTTAAAATGTTTTAAGTGTTTAATTAAGTTTGTAAGTGGGGCCAAACACTGTTCAAAGGCCCTTAAAAAGAGATTGCTAGGATGGCTTAGACTTCTTCTCAAAAGAATAACAGCACTAAAACAGGGTCCTCCGTTTGAAATTGGTAATGGCTTCTTCATACTGAGTGGGGGTTAGGGAAGGGGGACTCTAACCCCCTACGGGGCCAAAGAAGATGGGAGTGGAGATGGCCCACTCYGGCTTGTCTAACACAAGATAACTCAATCTGCATATGTCCTTTGTCCTTCCCTGCCTCTTCTCCTGAAAGTTCTGCTAATTTTCAGGGATTTCTGAGGTAGAATCTTTGAAGCAGTTAAGTTTCTCTTGCCTTCCTTTAAAGCTGGCTTTGTGCTGGGTACTTTAGCCCACACCTGCAATTCCAGCATCTCTGGAGGCTGAGGCAGGAGGATTGCAAGTTCCAGGCCAGCCTCAGGAATGAAATGAGGCTCTAAGCAACTTAGTAAGACTCTGTCTCAATAAATAAAATAAAATAAAATAAAATAAAATAAAAAGGGCTGGGGATATGGCTCAGTAGTAAAGTATCCCTGGGGTCAATCCTCAGTGCCAAAAAAACAAAAACAAAAAAAAGAAGTTGGCTTTGAATAAAACCAACTTTCCTACCAATTTGACTCCAGATATTTCTGGAGCAGGGAGTTGGTACCAGGGGTTGGTACAGCTGCCCAGTAAGAGCAGCTGTGAATTGAACAGAAAAACTCTCAAAGAGAAGTGAAGCTATTTTTGTTTTTCAATTTACAACTTTAATCAAATATTAATTTTCAGAAACCAAAATGAGCCACTGAATTGTCTTTCCTGAGTATATAAACTGCCTATAAAGAATTTTTTATTTTATAGAAAGAGATTCACATTCAACACCAAGGACTTCGTATTATAAATAGAGGTTTAAAGAAGAGGGGTGACTGGTCAGATTTGACTTTTTAAAAAGATCCCTTTCACATCAAAAAAAAAAAAAAAAAAAGATTAAATACCCGCCTAGTCCTGTCCCTTCTCATTCACACACTGGTTTCTTACCATAATGTACTCCCTTAACAGCTCCACGGAGGTGAACTTGGCCTGGGTCTCCGTTCCTGTCCGCACGCACACTTGGAGCAATCCGCTTAGCTATTGCAAAGGAGCAAGCAGTCGCCGTTAGAGGCCTTTCCTCCTCTGGGTTCTGCTCTCCCACCTTCAGGACTGCCCTTGAGGATCACCACCCCCTTCTCACTCGGGGCCAGTCGCATGGGGGCCTGCATTCCCAGCCAGGCACCCCAAAGTGGAGATATATTCCTGTCGGGTTCTTTTGCCTTTGAACACTTCCTCTGTGTCTGGAAACAAATGGTATTTACATTTTCCCTGGCACTCCAGATGGTGGGAATCACCCCCCCACCACTGCACCACTTTATCCTCGCCTTTCTGTCTGTGCAGTGGGGACCTGCCGTCCAGTGGGAATGCTTCCTGGGGGCAGAACTGCTGGGWATCCTTTCTCGCAGCACCTGGATGGGCTCTCCATCAAGGGCCCCTCCCCACTCTCCACCCAACACCAAGAAGGAACTGAAATTCAGCCACCACCGGAGACCACTAAACCATCCAGCCCATCTGCCCGCTTTACACATGAGAAAATCATGTATTAAAAAAAAAAAATCATGTAGGGCAGAGGGATGGCTTGATAAGATGACCCACTTGAGGCCAGGATATCCCAGAAGGCTACCCTGAGATTTAGGGCTAATAGTGTTTTAGGATGAAGGATGCCCCCTCCCCCACCTGCCAAAGATATACCCATATCCAAATCCCTGGAACCTGTGAAAGTTACCTCATTGAAAACAGGTCCTTTGCAGATAGAATTAGGATCCTGAGAACATCCTGGATTACCTGGATGGACCCTAAAGCTAGTGACAGGTATCTTTACAAGAGACRGGATAAGTCACAGAGCAGAAAGGGGGATAGGCAGGCAAAGGCAGGAGCTAGAGTGAGGCAGTTGTAAGTCAAAGAATGCCAGCAGCCACCAGCAGCCTGGCCAGACCAGAAACAGCCTCCCCCGGAGCCTCAGAGGGACCACAGCCTTGCCAACACCTTGCTTGTGGACACCTGACCTTCCAAAGCTGAGAGAATAAGTTTCTCTTGTTTTAAGTCACAAGCTCAGGGTAATTTGTTGCAGCAGCCTTAGCACACAMGGGGTGTAGGTAGTGAACCCAGAAAGTACGGAGGGGATGGGTGACATAGGGAGCCTGGGAAGGCAGCCAATCCCAGGTGTGTGTTCATGAGAGGTCAGAGCAGCAGGCATCTGGGATTGGGTTGCCCTGGGACACCAGAGGGGCCACACCACAGAGTTGTTCCATGCCAGGGCAAGGAGTCATCCCTCAGTATCCTTTGAGGGGCTGATTCCAGGACACCACCACCATCACCCTTGGCAGATACGGAAATCCAAAGATGCTCAAGATCTTTACATGAAATGGCATCGTATTTGCATCTTACCTATGCATCTCCCCCAAATAGTCTAAGTCACCTCTAGATTACCTCTAATATCTAACACACAATGTAAACTTTATGTAAAGGCTGTCACACTGTATTTAGGGCATGGTGACAAGAAAACTAGTTTACATGTTCAGTAGAGACACAGTAATTTTTTTTCCTGAATATTTCCATTTTGCAGGTGGTTGAATCTGTGATATGGAACGTGGATTCTGAGGACTAATGTATTCACTAACTCCCTTCAGTCACTGCTGAGGCTGTGAGAACCCCATCCCTTACATCTCCAGCTGCCCCTAGCCTAGCAGAAAAGAGTTAGAGGCAGGATCAGTCTTCTCTCATGACACACATAGATGACACACATTTATTAAGCAATAGCGATGRGCCCAGTACTGGTCAGGGTGCTGGTTTTCCGAGGTTGAACATGATGGACAAGACCCTGCACTCCTGGGCTTATGTTCTAGTGGACTGGCAGGTGGAAATTTCAGGAACCATAAGAACAAGGTATTGATAAAATAGGAAGCTGTGGGTGACTGGCTAAGGCTAGGGGTGGGCAGGGAGGACTATGTGAGCTGAGGTCTTTATGATGAGATGTCCACCAGGCAAACCTCAGGTGAGAAAGCTCTGGAAAGCAGCAAGCGACCTTCACAGAAGAAGGCCACGGAGCCCAAGCAGGTGAATGCAGGAGGAAGAGCAGTGSCTGCAGACCCTCACAGGCCTCCGTTGCACCTACCTCCCTGATCGACACAGGCCAGGGCTTCCCATTTCTCTTAGAGCCATGGCTCTCAACCTGGGTGATTATGTCCCCAGGGGACATTTGGCAAGGTCTAGAGACAGTTTGGGTTGTTCCAACCTGGGGGGAAGGGAGGTCATATTGGCATCTAATGGGTAGAGGCCAGGGAGGCTGCTGAACATCCTCAGGTGCACAGGACAGCCCCACAGGAAAAGCATTATCTGCTGGGCATGCTGGCACCCAATAATCCCAGTGGATCGGGAGGCTGAGGCAGGAGGATCACGGGTTCAATGCCAGCCTCGGCAATTTAGCAAGGCCCTAAGCAACTCTGCGAGACCCTGCCTCTAAATAAAATACAAAACGGGCGGGGGATATGACTCTATTGTTAAGCACCCCGTGGGTTCAATCCCCAGTACCAAAAAAAAAAAAAAAAAAGCATTATCTCACCCAAATGCATATCAGAATACAGATAACACCCCTTCCCTGGCGTACAAAGCTCCACACATTCTACCTCTGCCAACCTTTTATTTCTTACCACTTTGCTTAGGCCACCCAGCCTTTTTCAGACTCTCAAACACACCAAGCTCAGGCCCCCAGGCCTTTCCCCGGCTCCTCTGCCTGCTGCACCCTTCCTCCCAGTCTCCTGTGGCTTGTTCTTTTTTGTTCTGGTCTCAGCTCGGAAGTCACCCCCCAGCAGAGGCCTCCTCAGGCTTTTGGTTGTAATGTTGCCCCCCTTCCCCCGTCACTGTACCCCACTTTATTATCTTCACTGCACTTCCTGAACCCTTATTGGTTATTTACTTGCCACCATATTTATTCCAGCTCTGCACTAGAATGTAAGCTCCCTGAGGGCAGGACGGTCAGATTGTTTGCTGTTAAATCCACAACAACCCGTAGAGTTCCTGGCTCACAGCAGCTGCTCAGGGGAGAGCTGGCAAATGAACCCGCGGACCCTGTCCTTGACGGAGGCACATGCACATTTCATTAAGGACAGGAGAAGTATGATCTCCCAAGGGCTTGGGCAGCCCACCCAGGTTTAGCATGTCCACATCAGCACAGAACTGGCCCCAGCAGGTGCCTCTTCTCCTCCACCATGGGAGGGGACGGTACTTTACATTGGCTTTCTTGCTCTGTGGGTGTTTCCTGCCAATTTCTCATCCGTCCTCTGTTCTCAAGTGAAGCTCTGTCGTTTCCTTTCTGTGTTCTCCAAAGGGGTCTAATGCTGGAAAAAGCCCCAGAGCCAGCTGGAGAAGCCATCCCATAAATCTCAATGTGTGCAAATTCTTCTCTGACCCCTACAGGAACGTTTGGAAACATTTTCACAGAGAGCCAATGATATTGCCCAAAAGCATGACCTTAGATGGGGCAAGCTGTTTTACTTGGACCAATTAAGGGAAACCGTTCAACATCATCTGTTTGATTTTTTTTTTACTAGGCAGCAACAAATGAAAGCATCCATCCATGAGGGAAATTGGCTACCCAAGGAAAAATTCATTATTTTCCTTACCTTAAGAGTATAGAGGATATATTTTTGTTCCTCCTCTTTCCCAAAAATAACACTTAGAATGATATTAGAAAAATTTCCCCCAAAAAGAATAGACCCTTAACAGCAAGGGGATTGGAAAGAGATGAAACTGAATGAGAGAGTTATAAATTTCTGCAAGTTGGAAAGAGGATGAGAACCTTTTGATAAAATGGAAGCAGAATGGGCTAAAGGGATTTAAAGAGCCTTCSGTCTAGCAGAACCTGGAGAGCCTCCAGGTGTGAGGAGGAACCCACAAAGAGGCTGGCAAATTCATAGTCTGTCTACAAAGACTCCTATTGGACCCATTTATTCACTTCCATCTTTCTCCCAACCAGAAGCAGTGACACACTGTATCCCTAGGCACAGGTTGTGAACACGTGTATATACACACAATTTCCCCTCTAAAGAAATTGAACTGACTACCTGGGGCTCCAGGAATAGTACCTAGATTAAAATTCCCTTTTAATTCTAGCATGTGGGGGTCTAACRGCCAGCTCCCTGGGTGTTTTCCTGCAGTGCTGCACCCAGCCCACCATAGTCAGGAAGCTTCCTATGAAGAGAGACCTAGGAAGGAATTCACAAGTTCCAAAGAAGCCCTAAAAACCCAACCCACCCATTCTCCCATGCTTAAATGGAAACAGAGCAGGAGACAGCTGAGCAAATCTAATGGCATGAAAGAGCAAGAACTGTACAGACCAAAAAAAAAAAAGAAAGAAAGAAAGAAAGAAAGAAAGAAAGAAAGAAAGAAAGAAAGAAAGAAAGAAAGAAAGAAAAAGAAAAAAAGTGACCCAGGAACAAACAGATATATATAAGTCAAAGAAGAGAAAAGAGTCTAAGGGTGGTAGGGGGGCTCTAATAATATAATAACAGAAATTTTGAGATAAAAGAAACAGAAATTGATGCAGGAAGTCTAATATGCAACCAATATACATGAGTCATAGGAAGAAAACAGAGAAAGGAAAGAAATTGTCAAAATGAAGGAGAAGTTTCTCTGAATTGAAGGGAGATTTGACTTTAAAGTAAAAGAAGCCACAGCATCGAAGAGAATATTTTAAAATGACCCATATTCTGAAACATCGTCCTGGAATTTCAAGTACCACTGGTAMGGACTACATTGGAAATGTTTCCAAAGAGAAAAATGGGAACCATATATCAAGGGACAAGTTCAAGGAGCATCAGGCCTAGGTGGACTGGCTTCAAATCCTGGCTTTCAGACATGACATGTGTGGGATCTTAGCAAGTCTTTCTGGGTCTCAGTCTCCTCATCTTTAATATGGGGCTTACAGTAGTATCCTAGGATCATCATGGGGGGGGTAAATGAATTAATTTATATAAAGCAAAGCAAATACCATGTGTTCACCTACTATTGTTGTTATTCAAAAGAAAATAAGCATCCAAGAAGATAAGCCAGTCATAGACACTGCCATGGCYCCTCCAGTATTTATTTCACAGCCCCCATTGAAGAGTAGCCGTACAACTTTGTGGTGGCCTAAATCAATCATCCCAATCCCATTAAGCCACTAATTAGTTCTTGAATAMCTAAATTAATACAATAAGAGTAAAGCTCAGGATTTGTCCAGTGGTTAGGACAGGAAATATCTCCAGCCACAGACCCCAGAGGACGTTATGAGGGAAGATATCACAGAAGGACAAAGACAAGAGCCATGATCCAACTGTGCCTGAAGCCCACACAACTTCCCAACATGTTAATGATGCCAGCTCCTAAACTCTCTTCACTGTGTTAAGCCCATTGGAGTTTTCTTTCGTGTCCAATCAAAAGCACCCTCCCTGATACGTTACCTGGATGATGTAAGACAGCGACAAGCCTTTGGACGAAGGACTGATTGAGGAGAAACTCAGGGTCACCAACAAGGCCACAACCAAGGTGACGATGTTCATGAGGATATCCATTCTTAGAGCAAACCACCTGAGAGCACAGTTAAAATACAGAAGGTGGCTGGAGTTTTCATCGTTTAGCATCTTAAACCTAAAATCAAGAAAATCAGACAAAACAAGAGGTCGGGTTATGGCTTAGGTCACACAGATGAAGGATCAGGGCAACTGGAGGAATGGAGCCAGGGACTCCTTACTCAAAGAGAAGCCCGTTCTCACACGGGAAAACTGAGCATCTGTCCACCTTCTCCCTGCCACCACAGACATCTTTGATTTGCACAGATACATACTGAGAAATCCCATGTGGCGGTCACCAGTGGTGCCAAGTGGGCTCTTTCTGTCTCTCCCCAGAGCTGGCGATTGGAACCCACAACTGAGAACAAGAGCTACTGAGAACTCACATGGGGTRATCTACATAAGGGGTGCCGGGAGGGGGGGGTGTTGTGGAGGAGGCCACCTTCGAGAAGAGTCAGTGTCTGTGACGGTGAAGGAGGCAGGGAGGGTGTCTGCCTGGCTCCCCTCCCCACTTCAGACAGACAAGATTCAAAATCATTGCTTAGAAAGCTGGGGGCGGGGGTCTCTTCAAGGACAGGAAGCTGACATCTCGCACCCCTGCCCATGTCCACTGAGCCCAAGGGCTCGCTGAGGGAGAAGGAGCACCAGGCAGAGCAACAGAGAGGTGACCCAGCAGAGCACAGGGGCCAGACCCACCCCTGGTGTTCCTCCTTCCCCAGATGAAAGCGGGGTGCATCCTGCCGGTTCCTGCAGTGCCTGGGGTTGAGGGGGCGGCAGGAAGACAGCGTGTGAGTGGCAGGCTGGATGCAGCGTTCCTTCCAGCTGGAGGCAAAGAGGGAGCCAGGGGGATGCCGTCAAGCAGCTGGCCATCGGACCCAGCAAACCTGATGTGGCGATCCTGGATCCTGGCAGAGCTGCTTGGGATTTGGTCCTGTTGGGACCCCACCCTGCCATGGCCGCCTCTGCCCCGTGAGCTGGGTCAGCAGGGATGAGCCGCAGAGAATGGCCCAGAGGCAGGCAGTCCCCTAGGAATGTGTATTTTCTGATCCCCTCCCAATTCCCCTGCACCAGCATCAGAGGACCAGGCTCAGAGAAAAGGGAGAGTGAGTTTAAAAGAAAAAGGAAAGACTGCTTCCTAACTGCAAATCTGTCTCCCCCCAGATCCCCCCCTACACACACACACACACACACACACACACACGCACGCACGCACGCACGCAGCACAGCACAGCCTTGCCATGCCAAGTCTTGGGGGGAAAAGAGAACCATGACTTGAGTCTCTGTACCACTGAATTTTTACGTAGACTCAAGTAACTATTAGAGACATAGAGTCCCGGGCCACGGAGAGTTCTGTGACCTAGTGAAAAGCGGGCTTTGTCAATTGGTAGAAATTATCAGGGAGAAAAAATGAAGACTTTCAAAGTTTAAAGTCCTATGGAGTTCAGTTCCTCTATTGCCATGAATGTCTGGAGGCCATGCTAGTSCACCCTGTTCTTACAGTCAGTCCCCCTGGGGACTCTACCCAGCAGCACCTCTGACCAGCCATCGGGGACTCTGCCACACCTTCCTCTTCTCCGTCTCCATTCTAACTTGTTTCCCCTAGAGCTTAACCAAGATATTCCTCCAAACACCACAATGTTCCTATTTCTCTGTGACAAATGCAATGCGCATCAGAGGTCCAAGTCCTCTAAAAAGAAAGATGGGGAGAATGGGAAAGACCCCATCAGTCTAGCAGGGYTCAGCTCCCTAAGGGAGTCTCTGAGAAATCTTGAAGGAGAACCTGTGGGAAGACCAAGCTTGAGTCTGTTTTGTTTGTCAAGGGTGAAGAGAGGAGCGGCTCTACAAACTTTTCTCATGATCAGGACATGGAAAGGGTCTACCTGTGAGGCAGGACCCGGCAAATGAGGTCAGACCTTGACATCGGGTCAAATTAGTCACAGGACCAGCCGCCGACTGAACCCAGGACAAACCGTCAAGTCCAGTCTATTGAGACCCTGGGTGGCCAGATGGAGAGACAGTGAGAGGCAGAAAGAGTTAGACCCAAGCATCAAAGGGTGTGTTAGCTTTTTAAGGAAGGAAAAGGTAGGAAGGAAAAAAAAAAGGTCTATGTTATAGAAGTTGCTTGAGATTCATCAAAGTTTATTTTCATTTCTTCCTTTGGCCGTAGCTGGACTGCATTCCCCGGCATCCTGTGCAGTGAGGTGAGCCCATGGGACTGAGATCAGGTCAATGAATGTACAGAAATGTGGAGGATCCTCACCAGGGTTGAGCCATAAAATCACCTTCTATGGGGGGTCCACCACCCTCCTCTCTCCCCGTCTCTTCCTAAGGCCTGTGGAACAAGAAAAGCCTTAGAAAGAGATTATGTGCCTGAGTGTGGAACAGAATCCCCTTCTCCTGCCCCACGGAACCTCGTTAAATTGGTACTTGAGGAATAAATATATATTGTTAAGATCTCAAGTCGGAGCCAAGTGCAATGATGCATGCCTGTAATCCCAGCAGCTAGGGAGGCTGAGGCAGGAGGATCGTGAATTCAAAGCCAGCCTCAGCAACCACAAGATTCTAAGCAATTTGGTAAGACCCTGTCTCTAAATAAAATACAAAATAGGGCTGTGGATGTGGCTCAGTGGTCAAGTGCCTCAGTGGTCAAGTGCCTCTGAGTTCAATTCCCCGTACCAAAAAAAAAAAAAAAAAGATCTCAAGCAGTGGTGTTGTTTGTCACTGTGGAGAGCCTATTGTGATTCAGACATTTTTCTATGGTATTTACCAATCTCGTCCCCAAGTTTTAACAAGGAGCAAATTGATCTATCCACAAAATTAAAAGAAAYGTGGCCTTTAAAAAATATTTTTTACAAAGAACATGTAATAACATGAAAAATGGGATTTAAATATGTAAGTTTAAAAAAGCAATAAAATGATTATAAATATTTAAGAAAAAGAAAATCTTGAATAGAAACTTCTGATCCATGGTCAGATGTGCCACTGGCCCCCTAAACCTAATTGAATCGAATGAAAGAAAAGACAGGAAGGAAATACAGGTTGAGTATTACTATCTGAAATCTTTAAAACCAGAAGTGTTTCAGATTAGGCTGTTGTTTTTTTTTTCCCCCAGATTTTAGAATATTTACATAAATATAATGAGCTGTCTTGGGAACGAGACCCAAATCTAAACGAAATTCATTTATGTTTGATATATGCCTTATAGACATAGCCTGTGGATAATTTTCATACAAGACTTTTACTGTGTTTGTATGACTGTGACCCAATCCATGAGGTCAAGTGTGGAATTTTCCACTTGTGGAGACACATCAGAAAGTTTTGTGCTCTGGACCACTGCAGATTTCAGATTTTCCAATTTGGGGTGTTCAACCTGTATATGAAAATGTGATCAGGGTCAGGGGTGGGGCCTGTGAGCAACGTTTTCTTCTTTGTTTCTGCTTTCCTGTTTTCCTGAACTGAACACATTTTAGCCCTTCGAATGAAAAAAAAAAAAAAACAAAAATCAAAAAACACAAGGTTGCATTCTGAGGTCATCCTGAATGAGTTCCCCTAATGCATATCTTTTGGGGCTCCAGATGCTGGGAATAGAGCCAGGTCTCTGAGAGTGTCCCTGCCCGGTTCCCAGCTCATCAGTCAGTCCCCAGCAGTCCAGACTGCCCTTCATAGAACCACAGGGGACATTTGTTCCTGCAACTTTCTTCTGGGGTCAGGCAGGAAGCAGGGAGACCCTGGGGCAGGGGTCCAGCCCAGGACTCACTTGTTGATGCAGTCTTCCTTCTTGTCATAGGCATGGATGACACCCAGGCCCTGCATGGAGGAGGTGATGTGGGAAAACCAGGGTGACCGGCTGACGTTCTCCACTTTCTTGAGCTCCTGGACTCCTCGGTGGAAAATACTGTGAGGAAATCAAGAGGGGCCAGGAGAGCCACCGAGTGGGKTCTCAAAGGGCTCGCTCAGCACATGAAGCTCCAACCATGCACTCAGTATGACAGTTAAGTCAGAGACGGTGCACACCTGAGAAAGGTGAGCGTGCAGTCCCTTCATTTGCTCTGAGACCTAAGTGCTTCCTTTCGTGCCGCGTAAGATATAATTCTAGTCTTTAAAGACCAGAACTTTTCATAAGGTTCAGCCCCTGAATATAAGCCAACCACTTTAGATGCTCAACCAGGGAAAAAAGGGATCTATCTTGGAGCGAAACCTGGTTATCACATGCCAATGTGTGGTCTTCCAAAGGCATTTCAAAGACCATTTTGAACTAACATCAGGACAGCCTGACTTTAAAACCAACCCCCCACAGGATGCTTCCCTTTGCCTGGAAGCCCCAGGAAGCCCGGTGAGCAGAACACCAGTGGCCTTGGGCTTCCACATTAGCTGGCTGCTTATGAGAGAGCGTCTAAGCCCGCCTCCAGACTCTCAGATAAAACTAACCCAGGGGAGTGAGGGAGGAACCTCATTAGCTCAGAACTCAAGTGAGTTGGATAAAAACATTTGGCTAATTCGGTCAGGGCCAGCTCTGGTCTGCCCTGTCTTTAAAGCAAGAAAGTGTGGGTGCAGGGCAGAGAAAAGGCTTATGCTAAGTCAATCAACACTATGAACAGGACAGCAGACTGGAACTATGGTCTAACACAGGGATTACCAAAATGAACCCAAGTCCACGGAATCCACTGGAGGTCATGATATCCTTTCCTTTGTAAAGAACTTGCAGATATTTTTTTTTATTTGATTGTCCCAATAAATACTTGAGGTTGGAGATTGTGGCCAGGTGTCTCAGAGTCACAAGGGATACTTTAGGGAGAGCCTGGCTCTCCCAACTCCCAGGGCACTTCCCACCACACCAAGTACCCATACAGATGCCAAGTCCAGCACCCCAGCCCCAGGGCCTCTCTACCCACATTTGCCATAATCTACTGACACCATCTATGGATTTGATCATTAAACTTCGACAATCCACAACCAAACACATAATTGTGACTACCCTAGCCACCTCTCCTCCTATGTCACCTGTATCTCCTCTCTGCATATCACTTCCCACATTTGGGGTCATCCTTGGCTTCTCCCATCTTCCTAATGCCCCCAATTCCACCARCCATGCAACCCCAATGAGTCTACCTTATAAATGACTCTTGAATCCATCTTATTTACTTCTTTTGTGGCCTATGTCTGGTCCTTGTCAACTTACACTCTACATCTCTAGTCTGCATTCAATTGTACTCTATTTTTAATTGACACAAATTTATCAAATAGTCATTTGATCCTCACAGCAACCCCCTCTGAAGCAGGCGAGGCATATATTCATTTTGGAGATAAGAAAACTGAGCTTTGGAACATTTCTYGGGCTTCTCCAAGGTCCTCCAGCCACTTTGTGGCAAAGCTGAGACTCTGATGCCATTTTTTTCTGACTTTCAACCTTTCTCCCCCACTCAGTGCCCACCATCTACCTGCTGCTAGAAGAGCCTCTGACCACCCCAGGGATAGGGGCAGCTGTATCCCCTGGGAGGCTGGGATCATTGCCACCCTCCTGCCATCCTCCAGGTGGGCAGGCAGAGCCTCGGCAGGAATCCCCAGTGCAAAGCAGGCTTTTCTGTAACTCTGCCAATGATTAGGATGCAGGCTATTTCTCAAAGTTCACAGCATAAGAATTGGCCTCCTCTCTCCCTCTCCCTCCCTCCCTCTCTCTCTCTCTCTCTCTCTCTCTCTCTCTCTCTCTCTCTCTCCAGTAGCAGTAACGGCAGAGCCCAATGGTTAGGAACATAGCAGACAGACAGCAACCATGGTTACTAGTTTCCTGGCTTGGGACCAGTGACAATCTCCCAGTAATATCCACCTCTCAGGGTTGCTCTGAGGCTAAAATGCCAGATGTATCCAAAGCACTTAGCACCTGGAGTTTAGTAAGTGCTAAAAATCAATGTGCTCTACCATCAGAGGGACCGTAAAGGCTCACTATCACCTGATACCCGGCCGTTATGCATATCAACTCTGTGTGTGTGTGTGTTTGTGTGTGCATGTGTGTGTGTGTGTGTTTCTCCTTTTTAAATGGTGTGTAGACCTACCATAAAAGGATCAAGAAGATTATAGCAAGGACAGCCAGGACCAAAAGGACAGCGGGAAACACGGCAGCCAATATCATGAGAATAAACACCACCATAAAAAACTGCTGCAGAAAGTTCTCGGCGTGAAACGGCAGCCTCACATCCAGCTCGTCCATGTCTTTGGAAAAACGATTCATTAGCCTGCCAGTGGGAGTCGTGTCAAAGAAGCTCATTGGGCTCTTTAAGATCTGTGGGTAAAAGCAGAGATCCAAACTGGGTTGGGGAGAGTGTGGGGCAAACCCTGGCCACTCTGCTGGGGCTGGGATTGTGAACTCAGGGCCTGGCCTTTTCCCGAGGGTACAACTCAGGGTGCCAGGTGATCTTGAGGCGGTGAGGATGGATGCTACCCATTTTTTGTGGGCGTCAGGTGTGGGTGTGGGGAGATTCTGCCTCTGTKTGTGCAGGTCAGGCCTCAGCAAACCTGGGATGCAGCCCGAGAGGAGAGAGGCTCTTGCCTTTGGAGGAAGAAGGGAAGTTTTCCCTCCCTAGGGCATTTAGAAGACAAGTTCCATTTTGCCTCTGTCCCCCTGAAGTGTGACCCACACCTGTACACTCTGGAAAGAGCCCTYACAACCAAAGGCTGCCACCCACTATGGCAATGGAGTGTGCAGAGGGTGAAAAGTCCTTACTGTACTCAGGGCTGGCAGGAGCAGGARACGCCCTCTTGGCCTGAACATTTCTGCTCCCTACTTCTACCCCRTCTAAGGGCCCATGATGCACCGGTACAGTTCCCTGGAATTGACCTTCATGACTGGTAATTAGATATGTGGGAGACTCCTAGCTGTCTGCAAACTCCGTGAGAGCTGTTCTCCCCCAGGCCCCAGCACAGTGCTCAGCAATGGAGGGACCCAATAAGCCCTGTGAATAGTGGATGTGCCTGYGGCCCCTGGTAACTGTACCTTATCGAACACTTGGTCGTGTAGCGAGGAGGACGCCATCAGTGTGGTCTTGGTGAAGGTCAAGCCTTTTATAATGCCAAACRTCAGCACGGACACCATGCTGGCTGCATATACCCACTGGTACATGTGCTGCCCGATGTCTGCCAGGATCTTGCCGATTTCACACGTGCTCTTGTTGCTGTGGGACCCACAGGTTATCTTTGAAGCAGAGCAAGAGAAGCAGCATGAATCAGTAAACTCTTAAGAGAAGGGAATTTTTTCCAGAGAGAAGAAAACTAAAAAGAGGCAGCACATAATCATGAAGAATGAGTCTGGTGGGTAAAATCAAATCAGCTCCCTCTGGGACCTAGGAGCTTGAAATGGTTCCTCCCCAAGGGGCACCTGACTTATGAGCATCAGACAGTCAGGGGGGAAACAAGGCAGATGAGCTAGGCAGGTCCAGGGCAGCCATCCCAGAAGCTACCTGTGCCTCAGAGGACCAAAAGTGATGCTGCTGAGCCAGGAAGATCTAGAAACAGACAAGGAATCTGGATGCCATGAGGCTAGATGGGCAGCCCGTAGGCATCCCAGACAAGACAAGGGATCAAGGACCAGTCTCCAACTTGCCGGGATGCCCAGAGATTTTTAGGGGCACTCAGAGGGGCTTCTTACAGTCTCTCCCCCTTTTCTTTTCCCAACGGCCAACTGTGAGGGTGCTGGTACACTACCCTGGGTTCCCTGTTTGGGGAGAGCGAACACAGAAGGCTCTCGGAGGATTTGAAGAAACCGTAGCTCCATGCTGCCCAGGGAGAAGACAATTTCACCAGCATGTCCAGGGGGGAGGCCCTCTTTCCCTCCTCCTCCTGAGAAACTGGCAGTTTCATTTTTCTTTGGGCTCTGTGCTAAAAGTCAAGAGTGCCTTTGGGGAGCAAACAAACATCTTTCTTCTAAATGCCATTCTGCTGATTACGCTAATAGAGGAAATATAAACCAGAGGTGGCTGATGGATGAACGCCTATAAAGGCAAAAGCAGCCCTGGGGAGTTAACTGATAAAAGGCCCGACTTGGAGGAGGGGTTTTCCTGGGCCTTAGGTTGAGCCCACAGCATTGAGGGATTGGGGCAGATGCAAGGGTCTGCCACCACTGCTGCCTGGTTCCCTGGCCACCTGGGAAGGCACCCAGCCTAGGAGGCGGCTTTGCTTCGACCCTATGCCTGAGGCTCTCCAAGGAAAGGGCTCTTTCTTGGGGAGAATACATATGTTCTGGGAGAATACGTATGTTCCAGACATGACTCTCTGTTTCTGCACAGAGCAGGCCACCCATGGGCCTCTTCCCTTGGGAATGGCCTCGGGAAGCTGCACCAAGCAGCCTCTCTCCTACCCAAACTTCCCCATGTCTGCGCACATTGGTTGTCATAGCAACAAACTGTACCAATCAAAATGTAATCTCAAGGGATGGGCAGGCACCCTCAGCGCATTCCCTGGGGGCYAGGAAAGCTTTGAAACCACTGGCCATCGGCTGGGAGGGCTCCCAGCAAGCTCCAAGGAGAGGAAACTTCTTAGTGCTTCCCTGGAGGGGCCCTGGCCAAGGTAGAAGCCTTGGGGATGGGGCAGAAAAAGGCTCTTGGTGGCCCCGTAGTATTTGCAGGTTGAGTCTGACTCTTCCATGTCCCCTTCCTGCAGAGGCAAAGTTGGGGAGCAGAGCCATGAAGAACCTTCTGGCACCAGCAGTGTCTATGACAAGATGTCAGTTTCTCTCCAGAAGCTTCGCTGCCCCCCCGCCCGGCCACTGCCCCTCCTCAGAGAAAACTTTGGACAGAAGCTGTAGAACCTCCCTGTCCGGCATGTACTTGACCCCATTTGCTGTATTTGACTAGATGCCCTGCCTGTCTGAAAAAATACAAGGGGGAACATGAATCATGAGGTGTAAGCAACCAATTCCAACTTCACAAAAAGGGGCAAAAGAACAAAAATGAGCTCAGTGTGTGCTGCTGGACTCAGATTTTTCCTCCAGCAAACTTTTTGCTCCAGACACAGACTCAGCATTGCCAAATGAAACTCACCTCTGAGCCCTTGTCTAACCAGAGACCCAGCCACCAGTTGCTGAAGGCGGAGCTGCCAATCATCAGGAGGAAGAAGAACATGGCAAAGAGAGAGAGAAGGTAGCCTGCAAGAGGAGGTGAGAGAGAAGGKTAGGAGCAGGCTCATCATCCTCAGAGCCCAACCCTTGGAATCTGGGAAGCACAAAGCCTGGGAACTGCATTCTAGACTGATTCAAGATGTCCAGGGGTTGGGCCCCTGAACCCCAATGARGACATCTATTCCATCTGGTTGGAAAATGGGTCCAAATTGTCAAGGTATTAGAAAAATCTCTGATGTGCACTTTAATAGAAGCAACCTAGTATTCTTTAAAAGGAAACCAATAAAAACGCAGTCCTGGAGAGAAACCAGAAACGAAACTACAGATGTGTTCTGCACACAGAGGCGGGAATTGGGTGCAGATGACAGGTAATGAGGTGATTGCGCCTGTACTCAGTGATTAGAGAGCCAAGGTGTGGAAGAACCATCCTGGTTCATGGCTGCTGCCCACTCAGCTCCAATAAAACCGAGTCTGGCAGCTTTAATGGAGATAAAAAATGATTCCATTTAAAAGGCAGCATTATCAGACTTTAGTTTTTAGGGGCGGGGGAATAAAAAGCATTGATAAACAGCCCTAGCATAAAGACAGTAATTGTTAAAGGAATCATAAAATGTGAACCCAACAGTTTTTTAAGAACAGATTTTTAAAATGCAAATTAAATCAAGAAACCCATTGTTTTATACCGAACCTCCAGAAGCCTTAATGTATGTGTGATATGTTTTCCAGGTCACAGTTCCTTCACGGGAGGATTCAGTCTGGACAAGCTGGTGCACAGGAACTACAGAGAAAAACACAAGGCCATGGCCCTCAGTCTCAACCCAACCCCCTGCATACGCCACACCTCTGCTAAGAGGACCTATGACCCATCCTTCCATTTGCCCGATGCTTTCAAATTTCTACCATRCTTTAGCTCATTTTATTTTGTTTGATTTTCATTACAGCCCTGTGAAGCAGGTGGTATTAGGTCTTTTAAGAAACACTTATTTAATACCTACTATGTGCTCATTCCTGGAGCTCAGTGTGTGCTGAGCTACGTTGGTGTTTCTCCAGAAGTCCCCCAAGTATAGATAGGAATGCATGTTCAGGTGGCCCTCAGTACCCACATGGYTCTGCATCTGCAGAGTCAACCAACTTCAGATTGAAAATGTCTGGGGGAAAATTTTCAACTATACTAACCTTATGCAAACTTTTTAGCCTGCCCTCACCCGCTCAATAATACAGTGTAATGCCTGTTTGCATAGCATTAAAATCGGGTTGGGTATTCACCAAAATAGAGATGATTTAAGGTATAAGGGAGCATGTATATGCAATTACTATTCCATTTCTTAAGGGTCCTGATCAACCATAGGCTTTGGCATCTGGGGTGTTCTCCTGGAACTAATCCCCGGAAGGATGCTGAGGGGTAGCTGCAGTTTATTTGGGAGCTAAAGGGGAAAAAAAAATGAAAGAGAAGGGAAGATCACAATAAAAAATGTGGCAATCCCTGCAGGCACCTGGAGCTTAATCCCATTGTAGAGAAATCTCAGAGCCAGTGGCGAAATACATCTCAGAGCTTTTTCACATGAAAGGGATCTGAGAGTTCCCTATACCAATTCCTCTTGGCCACTGGGGGAGGGGCTACTTCTTGGGGAGGTTAATTCTGCAGCTTGTCTCCTGGCCACCAGAGATGGTCCCCAAGCAAAGGAATGCAGAGGTGGCAGTTGGGAGTCAGGCTGTATGCACTGAAGGGACAAGGACACCCACAGCCTCTTCTAAAGGGTGCCCTCCTCGGTCAGTTGTTGCATGGATTCCTGACTCCCTCCACCTGGCCATCCCAAGTTCTCTCCACTCCCCAAGGGGAAGGTGAAAAGTTCTCCTCCRGCAGACGGCATTTTACAGATACACAGATGATGGCCAAGGCAGCTCCCAGCAGCCAGTGCTGATTGTACATTTCTTCTCCCTCCTTCACACAGAAGCATGAAAATGTCAACTCCCAAGCAGAATTATAAACCATCCTTGGCTTTTATCAACAGAGATAAATAGAGCTGGATGAGGGGRCACCCTATACCCGGACTCTTTCACACCTCAAAGGCGGCTCTGTGAATAGAACCACCATTATTCTCTGCCTGGGAACCTGGGKGCTTCTTTGAAAATGGTCAGGCTGACTTTCACCCTTTATATCTTAGACTAGAAAATGAGGGAGATGGGTGTGGGCAGAGCCCAAGGAATGGGCACCCCGGCGCACAAAAGGAATCCGTGGAATCCCCTGCAGCCTGCCAGCCCAGCCAGGAGTGTGGCTGGTGCCTCTTTTGCTTTTGCTGGGCTTTAAAAACCACTCTGAACCTTTAACTATGCCTAGGCCTCTTCCCTCACAGTACCTTTCAGAGCACTGAGCGCCTGGTGTGTATCCAGGAGGATTAGGTCTCTGGGGTGGGGAATGTTTCACAACTCCACTTCCCTCTCCAGTGGAGAGAGGGTGGGAGGAATTGAGGAGCAGGGATCATTCTCTCCACAGGGYCCCTAATCCTGGGCAGCCTAGAGTTTTTCCTCCAAAAGATGGGAGAGATGTCTGGGCACTTCACTTCTGCCTAAGAAGCTACAGAGCAGTAAAAAWAAGTTGTCTTTCCAAACATGTGTGCCTGTGTCACAAGCACCGTTAATGGCACCCAAACCCATTGATTCAGAGACTTTTTATTCCTTCATGTTTTAACATCTCTGAAATCTGGATGTGCCTTCCCCTCAATAGCATATGATATCATTTAATTGGAAYAGAGTGTTTTTCCTAAGTGGTATATAAAATAATGGTGGGTTTAAAAATGGATGGCATTTTAAATTTGATGAAATGCACTTACTTAAAAAAAAACAAAACACCTACACATTAATGAAGATTAGTTAGAGAACTTGAAAAGCCATCTTGCTGTGGGTGCTTTCAAGAATTGGGACCCCTGCACTATCAGTATTCAGTGCTAGGCAGGGCACAGGTGGATGCTCGAAGGACACAGAATGGAGGACAGGATGCAAGAATACAGTCTAAGGAGAACTGGACTTTGCCCAGTGCATCTTTCCTCYTCAGCTTCTTGGAATTTCCTCATGCCTTCAACCTCAAACCCTCCACCCTCTCCCCCTTCTTACTACAGTATCCCTAGCAGATTCCTACACTTCCTTGAGAAACCAATTTGAAGGCCACCCCCTCTGTGAAACCCTCCTATGTTTGTTTGTTACTCCCACCTCAACTCCCTGTTATTCCAATCAGTGTTTCCCACAGCTCTCCATTTGCCTACGATTCCTACCAGACCAGGAGGTCCCAAGAACTCACGAATTGGTTCTTTCTTTCCCAGCCTAGCTTAGTATCTGGCACATAATAGAACGTTTAGTCCTTAATTGTTTAAAGAACAAATAACCATATCCCATCTTGATCCCTTCCTAGCTTCACAGTCCTTTCTCTGTGTTCCTCACAAAGGATGGGAAACAGCTCTTGCTGGCTCTTCCCTCTAATTAATCCCTGCGCATTGTTTTGTTCTCTCCAGTGACTAATAGTAATGACTATTGAGGGTCATTCTGTGTCAGGCACTGTGCTAATCACTTTGTGTGCAGGTTGTCATTTAATCTTTGCAGGAACCTATGAGATTGGTATGATTACTTCTCCATTTGATGGGTCAGGAAACTAAGATTTCAATATTCTCAGGATCTTGCTCAAGATCACAGAATTAGTCATGGGGCAGAGCCAGAATTTGAAGGCCCCGGCTTATTTCCCAGTCGGCCGCACAATTCCAGCTTCCACAAACGACGTTCACGAYGCCCAGAGTCAAACGGTAGAATGCCCAAAGGTACACTTGAGTAGTTACACAAGGGCATGAATGGTAAATAAATACCTTTTGTTTCTACAAATTCTGCATTGGTTTCAGATTCCTTTCCTTCATCTTTCTCATCTCCTGGAGTCAAAACTAGGGTGAGAAAGAAAGAGAGGTCTGTGTCCACTCTGGAGCCCAGGATGGGAAGAGAGGCGGGATTGGAGCTCTGACTGTACCAGCATCTTCATCCATCTCCTCGGAGCTCTCCTGCAGGGCTTCCACCATGGCTTCATTGTAAATGTGTTCAGGGTCCTGGAGACAAAATGAAATTTCTTCTGGAAGCCAAACGGCAGAACTTCCTCCAAGGCCAGACATCACCAGGGACAGCTCCCACCCTCTCCAGCCCCAATGCATAGTTACCTTGAATTGCAACCCCCGGAGATTGTGAATCAGCTTTGCATAGTGCCCTCTCTCCTCCATTAGCTCCTTGTGGGTTCCCTTTTCACAAATCTCTCCATCTTCTAACAAGATGACTTCATCACAAGACTCCAAAAACTGCACAGAGAGTAAAGTGATCTCCAGTAAAAGAGAGGAGAGCCTACACCCCCCAGCAGTGTCCCAATCAATCTTGACATTATTGACATTAGGGGTCAAATAATTCTTTGTCTTCAGGGGGCTGTCCTATGCATTGTAGGATATTTAGCAACCTCTCTGGTCTCTATTCATTAAATACCAGTAGATTTCGTTCTCCAATTTTGACAAGTAGAGATATCGCCAAACATTGCCAGATGTCCCTTGAGAGCCCCCAGTTGAGAACCACTAAGCTAGTCCCCAAAGATCTCATGAGTTCAAAAGCCAGCTTTGGCCCCAAAACAGTGAAGTACATTGGATTTTCCTTTGCTTCTGCTTCCTAATTGAGCTGCCCCTGCTAAGAAATCTGATTGTGGATATTTGGAAAATGAAATTGACAGTCATTGCAGCCATGATTTGGTAGAGAGGAGAAATATCATCTCAGCAATGGCTCTCCTCATATTTAACCCGACAAGACTCCCTCACCATTCCCACTGAGCCCAGGAGAAGCAGACCATGGTGCGGTAGCTCAAGACACACTCCAAGCCTGGGTTTATACCGGCTTTAACTAGATGATAAAAATACAACTACATTTAATGTGGGTATCCCTTGATTTGCTCAAAGCACTTCTGTTTTTCTCATTTGAATTCTCTATTATTTCCATATCACTCTTGTGATCAAAGAGTTCTGCTAACAGGGGTTTCCCTTCATTTTGGAATAAGACAGAGCTCTCTCCACAGGATTAACCATGGAAGAGCAGGAAGCCCCCTCCTGCTCTGTAAACAAGATGCTATGAGGTTCAAGGTGGCTCCACCGAAAGCAGCCTTAGCAACAGGGTCCAACCAAGGTCAAATCAACCYGGGATGCTCTTGATTAAAAGCCTGAAAGACCTGGACATGGTGCTGCATGCCTGTAATCCCAGAGATTCCGGAGCCTGAGGCAGGAGGATCGCTAGTTTGAGGCCAGCCTCAGTAACCTAGTGAGACCTGTCTCAAAATCAACAACAAAATGAATAAAATTAAAAAGTCTGAAAGAAATAGYGACATTTATTCATTGTCCACCTGACAGGGGTGGGGAAGAGGATGGCACTCAAAAGGTCAAATGATAGCAGTGCTCRTGGCTTGGATGGCTCTGGCCTTTTTGCCTCCCTGGGACTGTCCCACTGCTGGTCTACTTCCTCGTAGGGCCCACACAGGAAYAGCTCGGCTTTTAATGTCCACTTGAGGCACTTTCTGCCAGGGCCTCTTCTCAGAAGACAACCCCTCACCTTTGCGCAGCATCTTCCCACTTCTCAAAGCCTGGCCTGTCTCTTATCTCCCAGCCTCCCACTGCCCAATATTGCCAGAAGGCGGGCAGCTTTGTTACCAGTTGATTTTCTAGATGGGGAAACTGAGGCACCACTGGGCCTGTTACAGCCCCCACCGCCTTTCTCTGCCTGTGCCAGGGCCCACTTGGCCCTCCAAAAACTCCTGGCAAAGCCCCCATGGACCAAGTCCTTCCCCTCTAAGGAAAGCAGGTCTCCAGTTCACTTCAGCGAGACCAGGCAGATGCCAGCGGCTTTCTTCTGCAGAATCACGAACCTGACCCGGGGTTAGGTATCAGCTGCACTGGCCTCATTTCATTTGTTTCCTCGAGTAAACAGAAGAGCAATCACCCAGCCCAGCCCCTCAGAAGCATCCAGAGTAAAGGCAGCAGAGACAGAAATGTTCCGGAAAAGCCCCAAGGCTCCAGTTCTGGGGCTCTTGAGTCCCCTCCTCCCTGACAATGGATGGGAGGATCAGACAAGGGTTCTGGTGCCACCTGGTGGCCATCTGCATTCTCCAGCACACAAAAGTGAGCTAAAATGACCTTGGGGGAAAGGTAAACAGACTCTGGGTAGAATGAGGGGGAGGGGGCCGATGCTTGCCTACTGTCACCCTGCTGGCTCCTGAGTTTCAAAGATAAAGCAGGGCTGAGGTTATGGCTCCCCCGGCACCAAGAGGACCACTGGAAGGAGAGCTCTGACTCCCACTCGCCAGGTGAGAGGCTTTCCCCTCCAGGTCCCCAGGACCCTCAGGAGGACAACCCTCYCCACTGCAGGTTGTCTCCAGGGACCAGTCACAGGTCAGAGCTATGGATACATATTTAGCAGCTTGGCTGGCTCAGACCTCCATTCCCAGGCACCACATGGGGCTCCAGAARAAACCTAACCTTTTGCACCCTGCCCTGCACAGGCAGAGAGGGGCACGGAGCTCTCGTCCACAGCAGCCCAGCTTAGGGCTTCCAGCCCGCTTCAAGGAAACCCAGACAGTCTGTGCCTGCAAAATTTGAATGTTTGGGGCTTTTKCTGGGACCAGAATTCTATCCCTGGGCTGAGGTCAGCTCAGGGGCAAGGCCACAGAGATGGGAAAGCTGGTTTCCTAGGTCTTTGAAAAACTCAGGTTCATCCTCTTGGCCACTGCCAGAAGATCCTAAAATGCTGGCTGCAGTGTCCTGGACCATAATAACCTCATTGGATACCACCGTCTCTCTCTCCCTGCCCCAGCTTGACTTACCCTTGCAAGGCACTGAAACCTGCTTCCTACCCTCAAACCAGGCCCTTGTTGAACATGGTCCCCAAAGGAGAGAGAAGCCAGGGYTTCTGCTCCCCTGTCCCAGTGAGCCTCCCGATGCAGGTCAGTCTTCTGGGATATCTCCTCCTACAGGAGAACCCCACACAGGCATGAACACACACATGTGCTGCACATCTCAGGAGAGAGGAGAGAGGGAGACAGCAGGAGGAAGGGGAAACCTGGGTTTTCTCGAGATGGAAAAGAGTCCTGGATTCCCACCAGGCATTTGGCAACCCCTTGAGTCAGTCTGAGGTCCCTACCCTGCAAAATTCTCCAGCTCACTCAGTATGACAACAGTCACTTTCTTCACCAAGATTCATATCTCTAAACCTGACAAGGACACATCTTCCCCACAAGGGGGGCAGGTTCTGAGCAGGAATAAACTTCCCCCAAAGCCTTAGCTTCACCCCAAAGTCCTGGCCTCAAGCCCCTTTCCCTGAGGCATGATGACTGGAGCATTTGGGCCTGTCATCCAGAGGGCCSCCCACGCCGTCTTCCCCAGCCAAGGTGCCCCTGGCCTCAGGCCTGCCCAGGGCTTGCTGGGGGAAGGGTGGGCTATGAACTATTTCCTCCTGGCTCCCCACCCATGGCCCAGAGCTCAGCAGGGGAACCTCATGTCTACCCCACAGGTAAAAGTCAATTGTTCCTGCAGAATCCACTCTGGTGGAGAAAAGATCTTGGCTCTCCTGAACCCAAAGTTAGGGCCAACAGAGGACAGGCAGAGAGCACCAGGCTGGGCTGCCTGGAAGTCTGGGGGAATCATTGGTGTCTCCTGCTCRCACCAGGCCCTGTCCAGGTGAGGACAGCCTCAGATGAGGAGGGTTATAGAGGAGACTGAGCATCGGGTGCTACACCCCCACCAAGACCTCATGGATCCTGCATGTCCCAGTCACCTGCAGCTGGTGGGTCACCAGGACGACAGTCTTCCCCCTGAGCGTCTTCTTAATACATTCCTCAAAGACGTGCTTCCCCACGTGGGCGTCCACYGACGACAGGGGATCGTCCAGCAGGTAGAGCTGACGGTCTGAGTAGACAGCGCGGGCCAGGCTGATCCTCTGCCTCTGACCCCCAGAGAGGTTGAGACCCCGCTCCCCAATCTGTGGACAGGGACAATGGCACCACCCATCATCAGGTCCCAGTTCTCAAAGGACGGGAGCTTCCTGAAGCATCCCAGGATTCAGGGGGAAGACACACAGACGGATYACCCTCTCACCCAAACTCTCCACCCTCTTGCTTCTCTTGCTGCCTCAGGAAGCCCAGTGGGTGGTGGCATCTCAGGAACAGCTTTTTCCAATGCTGAGGGATGGGTGCCTGCCTTGCCACACCCCCACTCCAAAGCACAGCCCACCAATAACAACAAAGAGAGTTGTTTCAGCAGGTAACTCTGGGAGAACAGACCAGTGAACAGGAGGGAGCCCTTTATTCCCTTTCTATGGAGCAGTCATCCCCCCCCCCAGGTAAATCTAGACTCCACAAAGAGAGGATGCATGCTCTCTGGTGATTTRTCTCATTTCTAAGGCTTGGCACCACTCTGGGCATAGAGTAGATRCTCAGTAAATATTCACTGAAAGAATGAAAAGCCTCAGTTGCTAACTTCAGGGGATTCCATCCATCTGTACCCAAAGTGAAGCCCCATCACATTCAGCAGTTCAGGTGTTACACTGGGCACTGAGAGCTGGACACACACTGGACAAAATAATAATAATGTGTGCCCAATCTATCAGGAGCTTATGTTTTTAGAGAGCAAAGTGATATAGACAATCATGGTGCCACAGCAGAATTCAATAAGTGCCAAATGAGAGGCATATTCAGAGTACTTGGAGGAAAATTGCTTCGGGCTGTGAAACTGCAGAAAAGGAGGTGGCTTTGAGGCTGGAACTCAAAGCAGGGTAACAAGAGCAGGAGAAAAGACTGAGAGGCTCAGAGGGGGTGGGCACTCCGGCAGGTGGGGTAAAGAGGAGCCCAGCCCGGAAGGGTAGGAGGCCAGAGTGGCTGCTTGCTGGGCCAGGAAGGCTGTGCTGGYCCAGGAGATGGAGGGCCATACTGACTGCCAGCCAGTCCGTGAGACTGTGTGTTCTGAGCTGATCTTTTCTCAGCTTTCTGAGCTCCACCTGGGCTCCTGGGCATAGTGGTGAAGACCTGTGYAAAGTGCATGAGAAGTCAGCCCTGGAGAGAAGAGAATGGCCTGGTCACTCCAGGTCACTTGAATTGGTAGATCAGCCCAAGACGGAGCCAGGCTCTTTGGACAAGCACCCCAGGGGCAATGTCTGGAGGTGACCCCTACACTTCTGGGCCGGGCAGAGCCAGTGAGGCAAGAAGGAGCCCTTGAGATTCCTGCTGTGTGCAAAATTCCTGGTCCCCTGCTTTGGAGAACAGAGCTAGTCCTTGAGGTAAGGACACAGTTTTCACCAGAAGCCTTTCCCAAGATGACCAGGCAGATGGGGAGTGGACTCTGGGAGTGACCACGATGAACCAAACATAAGTGGGCTTGGTGCCATGTCCACTGTGGTGTCCACAAAGTGCGGACCCAGATAGAGAATCCTGGGTGGTCAGAACCTGAACTTTGCCTGTATTTTCTGACAACCTTTCATCCTCACGGGCATTTGGATACAGGACTGGGGTTTGCTGGGAAAATGGGTCACTGGGCAGCTGTGCTGGGGTTCAGCTCCCAGCTCTGCTCACCTCAGTCAGGTCTCCATAAGGGAGGCTGCGGAGGTCCTTCAGGAGGCCACAGACACGAACCGTGTGCTGATACCTGTGGGCATGAAGTCAGAAGTCAGCACACAAGAAAGACCCCTAGCACTGCTGCCTGCCTCGGGCAGCTTCTGAAGGCACCATCCATCGTCACGGATCAGCTCCCCAGCCAGTTGCCTTGTCTTTGACCTCCCCAGGGCAGCATCCCCTTAGCTCCTGGGGCTCCTCCCCTGACCTGGAACAGAGTTGACTGAACTCTCCTCCCCTTTCAGGGTTCCACCATACAGGGAAAATGACATCAGTACAAAGTACATGAATCCCCYGGAAGGAGTGCCAACTGCTAACGCTGCTCATGGGAATCAGAGAATGGGGGCAACCATGTGGGCGGAATCACTGGGGAGACAACAGCTGAAGCAAGACTGTGAATGGAAGAGAGATGTGTGGGCGGAGCTTAATGGCATGGGGCTGGGTGATTACAAATGGCAACCCTGACATCTACTGAGCCCCTTTTGCTCCAGAAAACTGCCACATCCACCCATCACTCCTACTAGATGGGAGAGAATAGGGTCCTCCTGGGACAACCAAGGACATAGAGGCACAGAGAATGGGAGAGAGGACACATGGGAGTAGTACTCTGGTTTTGGGGCCTCTCTACTTTACTCCCTATTTTGCATCAGCCACTGTTAAAGCCTTGGAGTTCAGTCTTTGTGGAGTTTGATTTATGAGGCCCTAAGCGGCTGGAACAAGCAACTCATCTGCAAACGGCAGCAAAGTTAAGAGGCTCAGCACCAGAGCTGTCCCACTGGGCATGGCACCACTCAGCCCCAGRGAGAAGCCCATCCCTTGTGAGTTCTGGCCCTGAGTGATCTAGAAAAGTCAGGGCTTCGTGGGATGTCCCAGGCTGATGTCGTGAAAGGAGTCTGCAGTTTCCTTCCTCAATTTTCTCTGCACCTCAACCCCACTTGGCCCCTCTGTAAAAGAATTGCAGTCTCCCTCAACCATGCTCAGCCAGCCATCTTGGGGACTAGTTTCTGCTCTAAATGGCCCATGTGCCAGGTGGCAGTCAGGTTTGGGCTCCATCCAAGCAGCTGCCAGACCCTAAAACTGGACCCTAGGTTTGTATCCTGCTGCACAGGCTGCCTACCTCCACCAGGGTTGATTGCTGATTGACTGAGTGATTGACAGACATCATTAGAATCATCGCATCATCATCAGGACCCTGCTTCCTCAATGCACAACAACGGGCAGCCCTCACTTCTCAGACTCCACAAGGCACACCTTCCCAATAAAGGTGCAGTGGCAAGGGAGAAAGTGGGCAGGCCTTGAAATACTGCCCTTCAGGTGACAGCCAGAAGAGAACCTGGGCACAATTCTGAGCATCACACTCATACACCAACCTCAGGATTGGAGTACACAGTGGGTTTAAATCGCATGAGGTGACCCTGGATAAGTGACATACCTCCCTGGCTCTCATTCTCCACTGGAGGGAAAACACTGCAAAGCCATTGCCACCATGTCTTGTGCACAGCAAATCCTCCATCGAGTAATGGCTTTGCCAATCTTCAACCACAAGGCCAGGCCGCTCAGCATATTCTCATCCCCTCACCACACCCCATCTTAAATTCCCTCCTACCCTCCTGCTTCCTGTGGTCCTGAGAGTCACAGTTTCTAACCTAGGAGCCAGACCTCTGCTGAAGTCTCAATGAATGGAAGTGACTTGATTCATCCTTCAAGGTTCATCAAGTGCCACCCTCTCTTGCCTGATCTCTATCCTCTGGTGATCCCTGCTGCCTCTGGACAACTTGGCACAGTTTAATGGCACTCAGCACGATCCTCCCTGAGGTACTGACATTTCTGCGCATCTCTTATGTACTGACATTTCTGTGCATCTCTTACAGCCCCTTCCAGATCTGAGCACCTTATGGGCAAAGATTCATCCAGGCCATCTCTGGGTCCCCTGTGGTGTCCTGCATGTTGCAGGCATTTGGTAACTATCTACCCTTTGAATTTCCTTGTTGATGAATAAAGGAACCTTCCTTCCAGGCTGCTTCTGTGGAAAGAGAAGCATTCCAGGTGGTAGTAGGAGGTGGCACAGACAGAGGGGGTCAGGACCAGGAGCCAGGAGCAGAGTGATTTGGCCACTGCCAAGGACACCCATGCTGATTGGCTTCCTGTCATGCATGAGCCTCCTGTTAACAGGATGGCAGGGGCCACGGGAGGAGGAGGTGGCATAATGGGCCCCTTACTGAGAAAGAACATGCTGGCCAAATGCCAGTCAGCAGGGACAGAGTGTGTGGGTCCAAGCAACAGGATGAGGAAATTCAAACCTTAGCCAGACTCCTAAGACCAACTCTCTCTTTTTATTTCAACACGGTGGTGCTTAAGAAGGTTGCTGAGTGACCCAACTGTCAGGCAGTTCCAACTAAAACAAATGATGCTGGGGTTCAAGACATAAATCCAAAACTCAAGTCTGCCATTTAATAACTTTGACCTTGGGCCAGTCAACTCAATTCTCAGTTCTTCATCTGCAAAATGGGGATGTCATGTTAGGATCCCTTTAAATAGATGGTCAGGGGATGCAAATGAGAGAATACACATGGCAACACACCACACTCAGCAAAGAACCTGGCCTAAAGTGTACCAAATAATTATAACTGAAACTTTGCTTTTATTTCATGAGATCATTTGGAGGACACTAAAGACAATATATCCTGATAACACGGATGTCAGTTAACAATGTCAAGGCTGATTAATTGCATGCCTGCTGCTCATGATTTCAAGTGAAGTTTTTGGTTACTCAGCCTAAAGCAAAATTGCCAGATTCATTTTTCTCCAGTCAGACAACATATGCCCTGTTTCAGAGAACCACAGAACATATGGTACTCCGCCCTGGGAACAAAGTGTCAATTGCATCCTCTTCTCCAGTGTGCAGTCACAGGTCTGCAGAATGTGCTTCTTCTGAAGTCTTGGGTCAGGAAGGAAAAAAAAAAAAACTGTGCTTATGTGGATCCCATGAATGTTTCATCAGAACTCATTAAAGAAACCCACTTAGCGATCATTACCAATGGCATCAGCATCTGCAACAGAGCGTACCAAATACTACAGAGTTTCGCACTTTAAAAGTTAATGTTACCTTTGGTGATCGTACTTTTCTCCAAATAATATGTTTTCTCTCACATTTCCATGAAAGATCCACGCTTGCTGTGAAACATAGGCCAAGGTCCCGTTGACAGCCACAATCCCTTTCTGTAACTGCATCTGCAGTGACAATACCAGAAAAGCCTCAGGCGCCAAACCTCAAGGCCTTTTCCAAAACCCCGTTGCACCCAGCCACCCCCTTATTCTGTGAGCATTGATTATGGAGGTGCAAGAGGTCGATAATTTGCCTTGTCCATGCTCTGCGAAGCCCAGCTCTGCAGATGGAGAGTCTCAAAGTCAAACACCTGCAAGGGCCCAGGAGGGAACATTAGGGAATAAGCAATGGCAAGCCCTACTGCAAACTGGAGAGCACAGGCTGCAGGGCCTGTCACACACGGCACCCCTGTGCCAACTACAACTACACCTCCTGAGCCAACTGATCACAAGAGGCTCCCCTTTTTCCAGGTGCACTGACAGGCTCTGGCCCTCCTTAGCCAAGTCCCTAGGGAGCAGGACACAGCCTGCACTGCTGTGGGTAGTGGCCCTAGTGTGCCTCACCTTAAGGAAGGTAGCTACAGCTCAGTGGCACAGTTGGCACCATGCAGGAATGTGGGCCAGGTGTTATCAGAGTTTCTGGTTTTTCAAGAGGAATGGAAAAATCTAGTTTCATATGAGACATTTGGGACTTTTCAAACATTGAGCAATCTCATCAAAAAACATGCATGATATGTCTCACCAAAAGGGGAAAGATGGAGAAAGGACCCAATATGGCAGCCATTGGTTACATGAGGCTACTGAGTATTTGAAATGTGTCTAGTCTGAATTGAGGTGTGCTATGTGTTAAGTAGACATTAGATTCCAAAGAATTACTAGGACAAACAAAATTTGAACATGAAACATCTTACTAACAATTATTTTCTTTGCAAATTATGTTGGTAATCCATTGGGTTAAATAAAAATATATTAAAATTAATTTCTCTATTTGTTTAAAAAAAAGAAGTAAAGGAGAACAAGGTAACATATTCTGTATCTTGACTGTTGTCATTTTTTTATATTTGTGTTGTCAAACTTCATAGAACTAAATAGGGCAAATTATACCATATATAAATTATATTTCAACAAACATGACTTTAAAAATAAATCTAGTTCATGAACTATTTAGCAGTATCGGGCACATACTAACCACCTGATGAATAATGGCTGCTATTATGATCCATTAAAACAACCAGCATCAGGCTGTTTCATAGTGGGGTCTGAAGGGGGGCATGGGAGGAATAGACAAACTCTGGATAGGGCAGAGGGGTGGGAGGGGGAAAGGAGGGGACATGGGGGTAGAAATGACGGTGGAATGTGATGAACATGATTATCCAAAGTACATGTAGGAAGAGACATGAATGGTGTGAATATACTTTGTATACAACCAGAGACATGAAAAATCGTGCTCTGTATGTGTAATGTGAATTGTAATGCCTTCCACTGTCGCAGACAACAAATCAGAATTTAAAAATGCATGAACTCCTGTTTGTGACCCTGGGGTACATAAGGCCATCTAAGATGACCCCACATGATGGGCTTCTGTTAGGTCACGGTAGATATTAGTGATGGTGCAATGTTCAAAGACACTGGGAAAGAGGACGTCTGAGACAGGCCGTGTGCTCAGGCGGATGCACAGGGGACAGCAGCAGGGCTTTTTTTCCCCCTGTTTTGAGGGCAGGGAAGGAAGGTGGCAAAGCTGTTGAAGGATGTGGTGCCATTTCATCTCAAGAATGGTCCAAGAGACATAGAATTAGACTCAGAAGAGAGCCGACCATGTTAACAATAACTGTAATAAAGATAGAAGATAAAAACGTGCGGGCAGTGGAGTCTTACTGAGCCATAAGGAAGAATGAAATCATGTCATTTTCAGGAAAATGGAGGGAACTTGAGAACATGGTGTTAAGCAAAATAAGCCAACTTCAGAACGTTCAGGGTGGTTATGCTTTTTCTCACATGTGGAAACTAGAGAGGAAAAAGGAAAAGAAAGTTAGGGGCAGGGGAATCTCATGAAAATCAAAGAGACCTGAGTAGAGTAAGTAAAAGGGACCGGCGGGGAGGGAGGAGAAGAGGAAATGGGTAAATACTGGGGAGTGATGTTGGCCAAATTATATTGTTGCATGGTGTGCATGTACGAATASGTAACAATGAAGCCCACCATTATATACAGCTATAAGGTATCAATAAAAAGGATGGAAAAATGTGTAGGTATATTTCAGGCACTTGTGAAGTATATATAAAGATTTTTATCGCCATGACTGGCTTTGGGAATTATCCTACAACTATTACATAAATTTTCTCATTTCATCCCCACTAAGCTCCATTTTGTAGATGAAAAAACAAGACTCAGAAAGGTTCATTCACCTAAACAAGGCTAAACAGTGAGCAGACTGGAACCCATGGGCTTCCTGCCTCCCCTGTGCCCATGGTGAGGGGCCTGACCTCACCACTGTATCATGGGAGATAGATTCTATTTTCTCTGAGAAGTTCCAATGGAGCAGACCAAAGGACAGCAGTTAAAAGAAAGCAAGTTTCATTTCAGTATATATCAAACCACTCCAAAGAGGGAACTTTATATGAAGTTATTGTTTCTCCATCCCTGGTGACATCTGAGCACAGGTTGGAGCATCTCTTAACACTGTCAAGAGGATCCATGCTCTTATGGGGAGAATTGGGCTGGATCACCTCCAACATCCCAGCCAACTCCAGGGTCATCACTAGGCAAACATTCTGAATCCCAGAGCACAGGTGACCTCGGGGGCCTCACCCAATTCAGCCCTGGCCTCCACCTCCAGGCAGAAAAGGGGACCTCACTCTTTCTACAGAGTAGTCAACAGAGACTGAAAGAAGTTCCTTAGGTTGGAGCTTATAATACACACACGACCCTCCCCATTCTGCTCCACTGAGCCAGGTATCTTTGTTTCCTCAGAGACACCCCAACCTCTTCCTGTTGCACACAATCCCAGCTGGAAAACAAACAAACAAACAAACTTCTCTCAAACTTATCTTTAGGGACAGTGGAGTGAAGAGAAGAAGGAACTTAATATTTTTTCCCCAGAAAATGTCTCATTCATTTAGGATGCAACTTAGGAACCATGACAACACGGAGGCCTGCAAATGCAGTAAAGGACTTCACCCTTTCCCCTGGAGTCACACAGCTAGAGGTAGGAGAGAAGGAACAGGACCCAGCTTCTTCCCTCTTCCTGCACAAGACTTGTAAAGAAGTTGGAGGCCCGTTGCTGCTTTAGTGTCAGCCTCCATTCAACCTCTCCTTCCTGGAGGCAGGCCTGGTTGAGCATTTGCTCTTGGCAGACACTGGGGCAGGTGCTGGGGAGTATGGAGATGAACGAGGGAAAAGGACATCTGCAGTCACCGTGAATGCCAGACTCCTTTGTTTTCCATGAAGCTGCCTTGCTGGATTTTCTAAATCAGAGCAGCTCAGGTCCTGGGGAAAACCATGAGCTTAATGATCCATCGCTTCCTTTGACCAAGACGGGGCTTTAGGTAAGGAAGCAGTCACCATTTAACACACATCCTCAGGGAGCAAACTCAAGAGTGCGTGCAAAGCTTAGCCCTTGTTTAGCTGAGGGGCACAGAGCTACTAAGTACATCAACCTCCCAGAAAGCATCATTAACTATGTGCACAGTGCCCGGTCCAGCCAATCCCATGCGCTGAGTCCACGATTCCACCACCTGAAAGCCCCCAAACACCGCAGGAGGAGAAGCATTTCACTGTCATTCTGATGCCCTGTCTTCACAGCACCCACCACTCGGCTTACCTGTCCTAGGAGGGCTGCAATGAGGGAGCTCTTTCCACTTCCGACATTCCCGCATATCCCTAGGACCTTCCCCTGCCAGAGAAATAGAGATAAGCCACAGTCACTCTCCTAAGTCCTCAGAGGGTCTTGAGCCAAAGTCATCCCTCCCAGTMCATGCTGGCTAGGCTCTGGCAGGGCAAGGGGTCACAACTGGCTCTCTGAGGTGACTGCTGCAGACTCTCATCAGAAACTCAGTACACACAGCCTGGGAAGATGCAGAAATGTAAGTCTTAATTAAGTGTTCTCCCTTGTGCCGCCTAGCAGAGCACCCAGAGGGCCTCTAGAGATCATGTACGGGCACTGATGTAAAACAGCCTTGTGCGGGTCTGAGAGACACAGGCCCTGGATGTGAGCACTGTCCTGTGCCCAAGTTCCAGGAACGCAAATCTAATGTAAGCTAAATGTCTATACAGCCCAGGGGGGTTCAGGAGTAGCCTTTGAAGTATGGCGAGCTGGGTGCTTTTCAAGTCATTTTTAAATGAATTCCTCCACCATAACAACTCAACTTTAAAATACTGAACAGTTGTCCTATTTCAACATGTTGGACTCATGGATGACTCTACAGTGGCAGATTTATGAATTCAATCATCAAATTGTTATTTAGCACTCGTTATGGGCCGGGCGTTGTTCTGAGCACCAGCAGCGACACACACAACAAGGAGCTCAACAGATCGGTTCTGTGTCTGTCCCCACAGAGCTTGTTTTAGTTGGAGAAGACGGACAGGAAGCCATAGAAGGGAAAAGTGAAAAGCGGGGAAAGAGACGGGGCGTGTGGTGGGTGCAGGTGTGCCGGGAAAGCCTTCCTGGAAAGGAGGGTGTCTTGAGTTCTCCCAGAATCAGCCACTTAATTGAGGATTTGAGGGAAAGCAACGAATTTGGGAAGCGAAGAGGGGAAGCGATATAGAAAAGGGAAGGTAGCCCCAAAAGGTATATTAAGTCAGCTCTCACAGGAAGCCAATGAAGCGCCATGCTGCAGGGAAACTCCTGGAAACTGAGTATGGTTTTATATGAACACCCCAACAGTCATTGTCGGTGGGCTGCTCCCTGGGCTCTTAAGGTCTTAGAGCTCAGTGGGTAGGGTGGAGAGCTACAGCTGTAGATCTGGCCAGAACACAACTAAGACATATGGACCATGGATAGCATCTGGTACATTGATGTTTGAATAGGACCCAAAGGAAGTAAGGGAGGAGGCCACACAGACCTCTGCAGGGAACTACTTACTATASGCAGAGTCTTCAGATAGAGACTCTGAGGTAGGAACATGCCTGTTGGTGCATTCAAGCACAGACTACAATACTTCCCCTGGAACATTCTAGAACGTTTGCATTTAGCCCTGTTCCCTGCAATCCCTAGAGCAAAGATGCCCAACATGGGGCCAGAGATGGCTGCTTTCCCACCTCGAGCTAGACCAGAAGGCCCATCACCTGCCTGCCACACTCAACACCTGAGGGTTGCCACCTGTCATCATGATTCCTTTGACAACTCTTTACTGAAGTCCAGACACCATACTAGGAGTTGGAGATAAAGACAGTGATCAGGACAGATGTGGTCCCCACCCTTGGAGAGCTCACAGTTTCATTAGAGCTGCAGGTATAGGAAGACTCTCCTTTTTAATTCCACTAAAAGGACTTCAAGGAACTTGATAACATGGAAACTCTGGGACAAAGAGATCACAGGTAARGATCCAGCCTCACTGGGTCCTTGGCTCTCCCTCAGTCCTGTCCATTTTGGAGGGCCAGATAAGAGCCCTCTAGAGCTATCCAGCTATATTCAGCAGAAAATCCATGAGGCCTGCATCCTCCAGGCTTCTGATTATTTTATGTGTTCACTTAGCAAACATTATTGGGAACATCTGAGCCAGGCCCTGGGCTCAGGGCTAAGGACATAATTCTGAACAACACACCCTGACCTCATCCTGGAGGATAGACTCTAATGGAATTGGGAAAGCACAGATGGCCTAAATTTAGGACATTTAAGAGCAGCACTTCAGCTGGACATGATTGTTGTTAAAGGAAATAAGGCAACAGCAGGTGCTGACATCAGCTGACAATTTGGGCTTAGTATTTTTTATTTTTTATGAGTCTGTCCATTCTTACAACCACCTTGTGAAATAGGTACTATTATAAAATCCATGGATCAGATAAAAAGACTGAGATTTCAGGAGCTTAGGCAATATACTCAAAGTCAAGTGGTTGGTACTGGAACCAAGGTCCATAAGTCTCCAGAAGCATATTCTGAACCCACATGTTCACTGTATGGCCCCTAACTATAGCTTCGGCTTGTTTTACAAAACATTGGCCATGCTCTTGATGTACAGATCCAGACATTACCAACATACTGAAAGAGCATTTGGAGTAAAGCAATGATAGAGTTAAATGGCAGTTTCTTTATATGGGGGCAGTTTGCTAGGGCCTTTCTGAAGCAACTGGGAAAGCAGGGTTGGAGCAGTCAGGGGCAGCACGAGAGAGGCCACGAGAGAGTGAGGAAAAGGCACAGTGGCTGCATTCAACAGCACTTAACCGAGACCCGAGCTCAACTGCACTCAGTCCACAAATATCAGATATCATTTTCAATAAATATGTGGCAGACAGTCTTGTCAGCCTCAAGAGGTACTATTTTCACGCTGCTATTAAGCTTAACATTGCATAATAAATAAGAACCTCTCCTTCGATGGTATTTGCATAGTGAAAGAGAGAGAGAGAGTCAACAAGATGGGAGATTAAAATACTAGGCAAAAGATTAATGCTGAGCCCTCTGTAGCAAAATCAACACCTCCACCTTGGGAGCGCTAGTGCCAGGTTCCCAGCGCAAGAAAAATAACATKCAGGAGATGCAAGAGCAAGCCAAGAATCGCCTAAATTCATAGCTTCATCTAAAAACCCTGATCTGGGTCCTGAGGAAAGGGAGGACCCACAGTGTCTGACTGACTTCACTGGCTTTGTTCTGGGTTGCTTGTGGATCTCATTTTACTTTTTACAAGAGCAATATTTCATGGTGGTTCAGAGTCTAAACTCTGGAGTTTGGCACTCTGTGTGTCAAGCCCTCCTCTGCCATTTGACCTTGGGCAAGTTGTTTAACTTCCTAGACCCCTGAGTTCCTTCAATGATAAAGTTGGGGTATTATAGTGCCTACCTCGTAGGGCTATTGGAGTGGCTAAATGAGTTAATTATGTTCCTGGTAAGTAGTAAGGGCTCCTGTCCGTTTTTATGATTTATCTTAATACTCCAATGTTAAGAAAAAAATCTAATAAAAAAACTAGTCAGTTTGAGGCTAACTACCTGAAATGGATTGTCCATTCAAAATTGCATCTGGCTCCAAAGGAGGCATTGAAAACCAGTACTAATATGAAGTCATCTTCCAGAAGTTAAGTTTGAGGAGAATGTCTCCATGTTTACCCACCTAGTTTTTAAATTGGGGGTGGGGGTGGGGGAGGCAACAAAGAACCTGGTGAGAGACATCCTACAACTGCCTCCAGCTCAATCTGAATTTTAGGAGGCTAAGAAGACCATAGCTATGCCATACAAGAGGAAGGAGGCCATACTTTTAGACTCACTACAGTTTGGATTTCAAAAGTGCCCCAAAGGTCCATGTGTTAAAGGCTTGGTGATGTTATTGGGAGGTGGTGTTGACTTTTAGGAGCAGAGGTCATATGGAGGGGTCTTAGGTCATTAGAGGCACGCCCTCAAAGGGGATGTGGGACCTGATCCTCTTTCTCTTGTCTCCTTACTCATGATGCAAGTGATTTGCTCTTCCACGCTCTTCCCTCCAGGATGAGCTTCCCTCACCAAAGGCCCAAAGCCAAGGGGCTGCCAATCTTGGATGGAAACCTCCAAAACTATGAGCCCAAAGCAACTTAGAAGTCAACTGTCACAGGTGTTTCATTATAAAATGCAAAGCTAACACACCCACCTTTCTCACCACAAAGCTTATGTTATGCAGAATTGATTTGGGACCGTCACTCTGTTCCTCTGAGCCAGCAACTCCCTGGGCTGATGGACTGTGCTCAGCGTGTACCTCCTGCCTCTGTTTCTTGACAAAGTGCCTTTTCTGGTCCTGCGCTTTCTTTGAGTTATTCTTCTTGCTGGTGTCTTGCTCCCACGTCAAGGTGGCATTTGCTAAAAGCAAGACAATATCTGGGTCTTCCGGTTGGGTGATGTAAGATGGGGGGCTTTTATCTATGAGAATTTTCTAAGAGTAAAGAGACAAAATTAGATGGGCAGATGTCATCCATTTGCAAGAATCTCCCCAATATTTCTTCTAATGACCCCCAAATCACAATCTTGGTGATTCTACCCAGGAAATCCAGGAAAGATATTCTGAAGTTATTTCCCTGGGAGAAACAGTAGAATAGTCCACTATTACATACTCTCTGGGACAGATGCCTCTCTACCCATGAGGCCCATGTGGGTCACCTACACTGGAGAATGCCGATTCCAGCTACATTTTACACTCATGTGTTAGATAATCCGCCTTTGCCTGTCTTTGGTTGTGGAACTTCTCTGTTTGACACTAATGTATATAAAACCAAGGTCATGTGCTTAAGTCTCTATTGCGTCCTCTTTTTACGTCCCCACTCCGCCTAGCTCAACAAAGTGTTTGCCACGTACCTACTATGTGCCTGGCTAGGAGATAAACAGCAGAAATGCAAATGTAAAATGAGGCCGGTTCTTGTCCTTGACTGGGAGGAGATGGGAACATGCATAGATCATTTCAGTGAAATGTGACAAGGACTGTAATTTCCAGAGAAGGGACACTTGACTCCCCATCTGGAGGTCCACGTAGTTGACGACCAACCTGAGTCYGTACAGGTGCTACACAGGCAGAGATGAGGAACGGGAGGGAGGGTGAGAACTTGTGCGTGGAGGACCCAACATGGGAAAGATAAGGATGCCTGCAGAACACGGTTTGTTGTTAGGGTGGGGGGACGCGTCAACAAGAAGTTCAGGAGTACTTGAGTCACAGGGCTCAAAGTAGGAAGGGGATGGGAAGCAACAGAGACAAAACCAAGGAGCCATTGATGGACGGCTGAGGTCAGTCCTGGAGGGGACAAATGTTCTAGAATTTCAAGCATGTAAGAATCCATTATGGAGCCAATATTTTAACAGCTCTCTGAGAGCTGTAATAATATACACATGGTGGTGGTGATTCTCGTGTTGCCTTCAGAAAGTGATAACAGTGAACCTTTCAATCTAATCTTACCATGGCGCCTCTCAAAGTGCGGGGCATATAGTGATCAGGAGGTGATTCAACAGGGCTCTAAATTCTTGAATGTGGAGAGTAAGTGAGAAGAGAGGTATGGGAACCCAAGATGCTTATGATGATTTCCAGATGTCTGGTTTGGGTGAGTAGGACCATATGATTAATTCATAAATATCTGAAGTGCTATTTTCTGGACTAGCATGCCCTTTTTCTCCATTCTTCACCTGGACTTCAAAACCACTTTTGTCTCTACTTTTTGCATGTCACTTAATATCCTTACCATGTACATAAATTACTAGTGTACCCGGTCCTAGACCAGAATGAGAGCTAAAGACTCTCGCATATTTGAATTTCCCACATGCTTTGTATAGAGAAGRCACATAGTGAATCTTTGATGAGTGAATAAAATGTGACTAAATGGAGGTCACTTTATTCTTTATCACTTCCATCATCACACCCATCACAGCTCAAACTAGGTAAACAGGGGGAATATTCAGAGCAACAGAGCAAACCCATACCCACTGCTAGAACAATTTTAAATTTATTGTTTGGATCAAGAGTAAAGGTCAGGAACATCATCTCCATGTACAGAGATTCTATTTGATTTTTCCCACAAGGGCAGAACACCTATAAAACTCACATGGATCCCTCCTCCATGCTTATTTATGGCTCTAACTCTAAATGGATATCCTTCTCTCAATGTCAACCCAACAGGGGACCCAGCTCTCCAGTGGATTGGTGCAACATCCCCATATCTGAGAATTTTCCCACCCAGAAATGAGATCTCTCTTTCCCTACTCACCCAGTGTTAGTTATACCTTCATTCTCCTTAGAGAGACATTGGCTTCGGCCATTGCTTTGACCGAGAAAGGCAAGATTGCAATTGAAAACTTCATTACATTAAACATGGCAATCACGCTAAATGCCTGAAGAACAAAAGAGAGACACAAGGGTTTAGGAGGGGAAGCTGCGTTGACTCTAAACTATCCTATCCATGGGGGTTAAACTTACTGAGATAAAAAATGGTAGCACAGTTGGGATTCACAGAGGAACATTTTGATTTTTTCATTTCATGGCTCAGAAACCATGGGTTTAGAAAATTAGGGACGGTGGAATCCTCATCTATGTTGCTTCTGAATTTTCACCATAATGGTAGGAAGTGTATCCCCTTGTCTCTGTTGAACCAGAAGGGAGGCCTTTTAACTGAATACTTCTGGAAATCTCCATCCACACCACATTCTTATTGAAGTCTAGACCATTCCATCAAAGCCTGTGCAGATTTTCCTAGGTCATTCTCTGCTCTTTGTTCTTCAGGGGCATCTGATCCTTTGGGACTAAAGGTTCCCTTCTCCACACCACACATAACCCCAGGGATGGAAGTGGTAGCTCCCTAGAAGGACCTGCTGACTTGACCTTTGCTCTCCTGCTCCCAGGGCCTGGCCTCTGTGCCCTGCCTCCCTCCCACCCACCCACCCCCCCACACACACACCAATGCCAGATTTGAGAGCTTGTGTTCTACTGCACTTCCCCCCAAAAGTCACCTCCTGTCTTCCTTGGGTTCTTGCTCTCTGAATCTTACCTAGTAAGTAATTAATACGGGTGAATGAAAACAAGTTACCTCCCTTCTCTGGGTACCCCAGGGGTGCATGATCTCATCTCTGAGACTTCATCTTCTCATCTGACTTTAATTAGCAGCCTCTCTCCAGCCACCCATTTTAAAAATTAATAACACAACTTCCTTCACCAAATCCTAAGTGATGCTGCCTGCTTTTGAGTGGGCCCCATGGACAGGGCCCCGGGCTTCAACTAATTCTACTTACTTTGCTAAGAGGATGATGAAGGATGCTCCTATCACATCTCATCCTAAATACACCCCCAAAGCAATTCTCCCGGGTCCCAAAACACCACCTTGGCTCTGGAATCCCAGGCCTTCGTTGACAGAGCACCTGGGCTGTCTGACATGACCAAAAACGTCTGACCGTCCTCCTACTGACATGGTCCTAGCAAAAGAAGCAACTGCAAGCGACTCTGAATCCAAAGAAATAAGAGTTTTGCATTCAGAGAATTTGGTTTGGATCTAAATTATTTTTTAAACCATCACAGTAGACAATATTAACTATATGCACTTAATTTGGTTTCAAATTGACTTTCTTGATGTGCTATTGCTGGAGAAAAACAAGTTGGGATCATAGAAAGCAGGTACAATAGTGTTCTCATCAGCCATCAGTACATCACTGCCATTGATTTCAGCTTTGGGTTAAAATCCCTTTGGGTTCAGAAAGGAAACTGGGTATGAGCTATTACCTGCCGAAAAACTTGAGAAAATAAAAGCATCTCTCCCTCTCTCTCTCTCTCTTTCTCTGCCTCTCTCCCTCTCTCTGTCTCTCTCCCTAACCCTTGTTTACTTTCCTCCAACTACTTGTCCTGAAGACATTTCCTTTAATATCTTTGTTGCTTTTTTTCTTTATTTAAGGCAAGGGCTATTTTCTCTCTGGCTCCGTGTTTCTTTACCTTCGAAGGCTCAGGTCCATTATAAAAAGCAAGCTCATCTCACATTCATCCTGGCTCCCCCCCTGAGGCTTGCAACCCACTTTTGCCTGGCCCYGGGTGAGAATCAGGCTAATAAGAACAGCAAACACTGATACCGCACTTAAGGGCCAGGGGTGATTCTGCGTGCTTTGTATAAAATGACTCTTCCAGTCCTCACAACTGCACTGATAGGGCCGATTATCCTCCTCTTAAAAGATAATAAAAACCAAGGCAAGATAAGTTAAAGATAAGTTCATAGATTTGCCCTAACTCATAGCTAAGAAGTAGTGGGCAGACCYGGCCCCTAAGTGGGATGGGCTCAGAACCCAACACTGCCTCTCCCAAGACCTCCAAGTCCTTTGACCCAGGGAATGTTCTCAAATTCTCCCTCTTGTAGTATACAGTATAGGAATAAAACATCCAGGTGCTATTTTGGTTTCTATCTTTTCTCCAAACGTAAAATTATATCCCATTGTTAACTAGTTCCCCTGCCCTGCGGTGAACCGAGGGTAAGGATCATGGCTAGGATCTCCTGGAATCCTGGTCACTTTGGACTGGATTCGGGCCTAATAGCCTATTGTGACTGGGGGCTCTGATGCCAGGGTCCAACAAAGGTGGGAAGGGGCTTGCCAGGGGCAGGGTACAGAAGAGGCCAGGTCTAGAGATGTTCTTACCACAGGGGCGGTGAGGTTGCGCCTCAGGAGGATGTGGCATGAGAAGGTCAGTACGATGGCTATGGTGGACACAATGGGGGCCAGGGCTGAGTTTCCACTCTGGACATATCCAGCTTTTTCTAGCAATTTTCTTTCCCTCTTTCTGATATCTGTGAAACAGAGAGCAGTCTGAGGTGGCCTTGTTTTGCACGCCAAGCGCCAAGAAGAAGACACGTCTCCGTGCCGCCTGGTCCTCCGCCAACTGAGGGTCAGTGATTCCAGTGGTACAGAAGCCCCGGACCAAACCCAGCAGGGATGTGAAGCCAGAGACGGTTGCCATAACTGGATGGTTTCCAAGGTCCCTTCCTGTCCTGTGACTCTATGTGTCAAGAGTCACAGGCTCAGATGCCTACGGGGCCAAGGCAAGGGCTGTAAGTGACAGGAGTGAGGAGGGGGTGAGCCCAGAGGGAATGTGACTGAATGAAGAGCCCAGACCACAGTGAGCGCCTGGGAGCCCAGTGTTTCCTTCAGCTCTTCTGAAGTTTGAGGTATGGACCTTTATGAGCTATTCTCCTACTTTTATATGTTGGGAACTCATTGAAAAAAACAAAGTTTATAAATATTGCTGGCCCAGAGACTACCAGACCCCGATGTCCCCAACCTGCCACCAACACTCAAAAGAGTATTTTCCCCTTTCATAAGTCTGCAAGGTACCCAGAACGCTGCACTGCTCACAAATTAAATCCAGACCATCTTCCCCTGGTGTTTAGAGTTCTCAGCTCCAACTTCAGCCTCATCTGCAAAAGCCCTTTCACATCGATTGTGCAACGGCCGCGGCTGTTCTTACTGAGTGCTCTCCGYGAGCCAGGTGCGCCACTCAATGCTTCACAGCCCCATCTCTTTAGGTTCTTGTCACCACCCTGACGAGAGGCTATGATGAGGCCCTTTTGACAGGAGAGGACACTCTCTTAACAAGCTAACCAGTTTGCCTTTTAAGAGATCGAGGAAGAATTGGAACCCACTTCTACTGGGATCAGAGCTTTGCTACCCATGTGCCCTTCCGCCCCAGAACATCCACTTTCCCCCAGCCCCCAGGATGTGGCTCGCACCTGGGGAAGCCCCAGATCTCTGTGTGACCGCATCCTTCCTGCCCTCTGCCGGGAAGCCTTTCCTGACCTCCTCACCTGGTGTGCTTCCCCCCAGGAGCTGCATGCAGCTTCTCTCAGATCTCCCTGGAGCACGTCCCCTTTTTATCTTCTAGAATAATCAATTCAGGTGCTCACGCATCGAACAAACTTTAATTCAATGCTTACTATATGACAGGCATTGCATTGGGTGCTAGGGAATAGAGGAAGAAATAGGGTCTTGGCCCTCTTCCGGTGGGGGCAATATCAACAATAAAGAAAGAAACAATTGAATAAGATCATTATAAATTGTGTTGAATGATCTCAAAGAAATGACCAAGGGAGAGTGATGAAGAGGCATTGGTAGAGCACAGGCATGTTTAGGGCTCCGGTCCAGAAGGCCTCTTGGAGTCAGTCACATGAGAAGAGACCTAAAATCCAATCAGAGTCACTGTGAACATATAAAAGAAGGGTTCCAGGCARGAAAAAAATAGCACGTGCAAAGATCCTGAGGTATGAGGGATGTGMGACACTTTGCTTTAGAAACAGAAGGTTCAAAATCTGCACTAAAATGTGGTGAGGTCAGAGTGTTCACCAGGGACAGATCAAGTAGGACCCAATAACCTATAAGGAATTTGGACTTAATTCAAAACATCTAAATTTGAAATAATCAAAGTGTGTTAAGAAACCACTAAAGAGTTTCCTGCAGGACCTAATTGGCATTTTTGAAAGGTCACACTGGTGCATAATGTTTTGAGGGGGAAGGTGAAAATCAGGAGGGGGGCACAACTAAACCTCCCCGCTACAGCCCAGGAGAGGAGACTGGCTTGAACGGGAGTGGCAGTGGGGTGGAGAGAAGCAGATGGATTCCAGGTATATTCTAGAGATGGAGCCAACAAATTTGGGACTGTTTGTGAGCTTAGTCATCTCAACCTCCTTTAATCTCAGAATCCGAAACCCTTTGCCTGATCACTTGTGTTTACTCCCATGGTCTTACACATAGTAGGAATTTGATTTTTTTTTTAAATTAAACTGATTTGAGTTAAACTGAGTTGAGCTGAAAATGGAACGAAACTTAATGAAACCAAATTAGATTGTGTTGAGGTGAGTTCAGAAGGTGAGGAAGCGTGTCTGAGGCCTCAAAGAGAGTCCCGTAGGATGGCTGATGTCCCCGTCAGTGGCACTTTCTTCAGCAAGCTCAGAAGCAGGTTTTTCTAAAGCCCTTCCCTGATGTGCAGACCCACAGCTTCAGCCCCAATTACACGCTGATGCAAAAGTGTCATCGTAGATCCAGAGAGTCGATTGTAACAGTGATTCAGACCATTAATTGGCCGACCACCTGAGTCCATGTCAGCAGTTATGGAAATGTCCCTGCAATTAAGATTTGCATTTATATTTGATTGAAATAGTTTTTAATATCATCTTTAAAAAAAAAAAACTAAAAATGCATCCTCAAATCTGCCCAAGAAATATGGAGTCAGTGGGCCATTCAAACACAAAGCCGATGCAGGTGAGATTTGTGGGTGTGTGAGTGTGAGTGTGTGTGTGTGTGTGTGTGTGTGTTTGTAGATTTCTTATAAATCAAAGAAATAGCTTGAGGCAGCTCCTCGATTGCTTACAATGTTAGTGGATTATTTTTGTCAAAGGTACTGGTCATGCCAGGATCCCGTGCCCCAGTAAAATCACAACCATATGTTGCTCACCCTTGGATTCATCACAACAGATGCCTGGCTCTCTTATAAAGATGATAAAACCTCCATAATCCTTGGGAAAAATCCTGGAACCCGCAGAGCATCTCAGGAGGTTCCCTCAACTCACTTCTGCAGGGCCTGGCCCTGGGAACCTTAAGAACTCCCTAGAAGAACACATTCTACGGGGTAAGTGGTTCTCTCAGCAGTTTCTCGCCCTACCTCGAATGGTGTTCGTGAAAGATCTCTCCCAGGCGTACATTTTAATCAGCTTGATGCAKGTCAGAAACTCATTCATTGTCTGAACGCGCTTGTCTGTCACCGAAATTGCTGATCTTCGGAAAGCTGAATTGAGCCTAGCCATAAACATCTGAAAGCAAGGTATAAACACTGTGTTCGGGAAGAATTGCTGAGTTGCAGTTGGCCTAAACATTTAGGGACCGGAGCACAAGTGCCAGGGAAAGTTCTGAGAAGTTGGCTGAGCTTCTCAGCCGAGTCCTTCCCTGGAGATTTGGCAGATGACCTGGCCTGGGGGGAAACCGCTGGGGATCAGGCAGGTGATACACCATGAATTGCCAGGATGCAAGGGGGAGTGTGCGGGGGACTCTGGCAAACTGAAGRAGCATGCTCCTTTTCCCCCCAAAGTATTCAAATTCAAGTTCTTCAAAAACTACACTGGGCCAGCAAAAGAAATGAAGCCTTCTATCCACTTCCATGAGCGCGAATGCAAATGTACAGCGAGCGGTTCCGATCGCAGAGGTCTGCCATTACCTGGATAGGGATGAATATGATATACACGAATATCCCGATGAGAGCTGTGGGTCCCAGAATGAAATAGGCGTACACCGCACAAACGGCCATTAGGATAGGGATGGTGGCTGGCAGGGGACAAAACAAGGCAGCTTCAAACAAAGAATAGCTATCACTTGATAGTATATTGAGAACCTGGAAAGAAAGCACATGGTTCAGGCTTGGGGAAAGGTAACTCAAACGTCTCCTCAACTGAGGGTTTTCTGAAAGGCTAATGGGGCAGGGCACCTGATGAGTTTTGGGGTCTCATTCCGGTATGACTTTGGAGAAGCCAGTCTTTTAGGACTGAGAATCCCAAAGAGGAATGACTTAAAGAGTAATAGAAACTGCCGGGTGCAGTGGTGCACGCTTCTAATCCCAGCGGCTGGGGAGGCTGAGACAGGAGGATCTTGAGTTCAAAGCCAGCCTCAGCAATGGTGAGGTGCTAAGCAACTCAGTGAGACCCTGTCTCTAAATAAAATACAAAACAGGGCTGGGGATATGGCTCAGTGGTCAAGTGCCCCTGAGTTCAATCCTGGGTAACCCCATCACCACCACCAAAAAAAAAAAAAAAAAAGAGTAATAGAACCATCTAGGAGCATGCTGGAGAGACTGCTTGCTGCCTACTCTGTATCTGTTTGCCCTTCTTAGGCAGCAGAGTTCAGGCAGCATGGCGCCCARCTAAAAGACTACATTTCCCAACCTCCTTGGTGGAAGGGGTGACCTTGGGAAGGGCATGGTGAGATACCAGTCAAAGTGTGTCATGGGATGTTGGGATGGGTTCTAAAGAGGAACCAACCCAACTTGGAAGACACACCCCTTTTGTTTTTGTCTCCTTCCTCCTACCCACTAGCTGAAACATGGTTGGGATGGCTGGGATCTCTGGAGTCTATCCTGCACCACTGTGGGAACTACATGCTAAGACAGTGACCAAGAAAAGAGAAGGATCCTGAAATCCTGCCAGCCCTGGATTGCCCTCTTGCAGACTCCTTTTAAATGGTGAAATGAATTCATCTTGGTTAATCCACTGTGATCTGGGGGTTTCTGTTACTTTCAGAATCTGATTATAATTGATGTGGGACTCTTTGAACACACTGAAAAGAGCAACTGTAAGAGCCAAGCAAGCCCTTTCTCTCAACTCGCACCACCTGGGGTTCCCTTGATGAGGAGAATTTTTCTTGAGATCAGCAGCAAGGATTTTATTGCTGGGGATTAAGGGCTTAAGAAAATGTCAACTCTGAAGTACAACAGGCATGGGTTTTCATTATGGCTTTGGCATCCCAAATGCTACACAACTGGAATTATTGGATCCACCCATCAACCAATTTTATCGAATACCTAGGGTTGTGCTCTTCATTGAAAACCAAAGGGATAAGAATGAAGTCACCCCGGAGGCCTGTCCCAGCTGTAACTAGGAAGTCACCCAATTCTCCTTTCTCTGAACTTTTCCCATGTCTTGAGTCCCCACCCCCCTCTGAGATGCAACATGATGGACAGGATACGGATGACCAAAAGAGAGGCTAGTGCTCCGTCCAGACCTCTCACACATGTTAAAAACTCAAGAATGAATTCTCCACAAGCAGACGCCTTCTGGACAAGCTTACCTCGCCAACAGAGAAGTGTGTCAATGTCTTGAAGGACACCAGGTTTTCGAAAACCAGGGTGGAGAGGGCCACCTTCAACCGGATCGCCGTGCGGTAATTTATGGCCCAGGCCAGGGCCCAGAAGAGGACCTTGGTCACCTCGGTGGCAAAAAGGGCCATGCACAGGCTGATGCCAACCCAGACCTTCCCSGAGGAGCTCTCGGTGTGCTGGAGGATTTGGTGAATGAGAACCGTCTGTAAAACAGCGCGGTGGAGAGAGGAGAGGGCCACTGGGGGTGGAGGTTGGTTATACCAGGCCTCAGATAATGTCAGCAAGCAGACTTTATGAGGCAGACTTTTTAATTAATTTCAGTGGCTGCTGCACTCGACAAGGATCAACTTTATGAAAATTCGCCCCCGAGGAGCACGGAGATAATGACAATGTACTAAACCCACCAGTTCGTAGAGAAAGTAACTAATGACATGCTCTGCCCAGCTGGGGACCTAGGAGACAAGGCAGAAGAAAGGCTGCCCCCACTCACCGGCCCGATGGCTGACATGATGATGCACAGGATGTTGGCCAAGATGTCCATCAAGACACGCGTCCTCTGGAACTTCCAGGCCACTTGGCCCAGGGAGGCCTTCTCGGGACCCACCCTTTCTACCTCTTTATCCCAAAGGATTCGAAATCTGCGATGAAAGAACAGAAAAGAGATTGACATTGCCATTTAAAACTGCTGACAGGGGGGTACCACACAGCCCTGGTTCTTGGGAGCGGTGCTTTGCCTTCAGACAAGCAGCATGGATTCACCTTCTTCTTTGCCTGGGCAGGTGGCCTACAGGAGGGGCAGAGGGCAATGCCTAGACAGGGCTGAACAGCTGGCATTTGGACACACTCGGCTGCCTTTGCTTGTACTGCCTCCTGGCCAGCTCTTCTCCAGGGCAAAGAAGACTGTCCACTTCAAAGATCTGGAAGACCAGCGTGACAGGAGAGTGGCATGTGAATCAAGAGGCTGAGAGGCACAGCTAGACCACATCTCCTGGGACCTCACAGTCTCCACGAGGAGATTAGATTGTATTCCAATCTCAAGTGCAAGAGAAGCCATCCCAGGTTTTTAAGCCACTATAACAGGACCATTTCACTTATCTAAAAGACCACTCGGCTGCTTTGAAAGCTATGGATTATTGGAGGAGCAAGGGAAAGGTAAGGATCCCACAGTAGGAGACTGTGGGCATCCAGGTGGGAGGTGCACAGTTCAGTAGTGGGTGCAAGGAAAGGTGGAAGGGAGTGACAGCAGGACTCACCCATGAATTAGAGGTGGGCGGAATGGAGAGGGGAAACCAAGGATGGATCCCAGTTTCTTGGACTGACCAACTGTGTGAAGGAAGTTTAAGGAGTCAGGGAAAAGAGGAAGAGGAGAAGGTTGCCAGGTTGGGACTGAGGTCACTAATGCAGCTTTAAGCATTTACCTAGCATGTGCAAGGCCCTGGGTTCAATCTCCAGCATGCGCACACACACATACAGAATGCAGATTTGGGTGTAGATGCTTGTGAGTCACCCAAATGCCACTGTCCAGTGTCATGCTAGGTATGAGATTCAAAATCTGGAAGAGAGGCCAGGACTAGAGATGGATACATCATTGAGTAGCCCGCATGTGCTTGGTGTCTAAGCTTTTGAAACAGAAGACAGCAGAGAAGAGGATCTAAGATGATGTGGGGTAGATGGAAGGGCACAAGAAAAAAGAGAGTCAGGCCAGAGAGCTGGAAGGAAAATCCAGTACTCCACAAATACCGGTTCAGCCCTTTTCTCTCAGTGCTGCCTGGCAACTTTCTCCAGACAGTAGATTCTATCTAGAAATTACCACTGGCTGAGATGGCTTCAGGGCAGAGATGAGCGGAAGCATCATTCTAGAAGCAATGGCAAGGCTGCAACTAACACGCCCAGCCCTTTGAGTGTTTACCCCAAGCTAAGCCCTGCCCTTTACCCCCATGTGGCCAAAGACAGGGCAACTTCCAGGAGATAAAAATCACAGGGGCCTTTGAGAGAACTTCTTCCTTGTTGAAGACATTCTCGGTCATCAGAACTATAGCGTTCAATGCAGCTGGTGGAAAGAATAAAAGTGGAGTCTCTGTGTGCACAAGTCTTTGTGCATTTCCAACTGAAAAGAGCAAAGTGATGAACAACTACAGAGTATGTTTCACTTTTTTCCTTAAATGTAAAAAGCACAACCTGTGGGTGGGGAGGAAAAAAGAAGAGGCATTGCCCTGTCGCGGATGATGGCACAGGACGTGTTTCATCAGAGTAGGAAGATTCTGGAAAGGACCACATCAACATTTTAACACTGTTTAACCTCTGCGATGGGGAAGCAAGAATATGCTAGGGATACTTGCGCTGCTTAAATTTTGTTGCTTTAACACTTTTATAATGAACATGAATTGGCTTGGACCAATGACATTTCCATTTTTACAAGTCAAAATGGCAAATACTGGTGGTCACGTTGTGTTCAGCCTAGGTGCCTTTTGTGATACAGAAGTCCAATAATGGTTTCTAAAATGAAACACAACACAATGCCAAGAGCTCTATGCAGCAGCCTGGCAGGGCCACCAACATCCAGCAAAGCAAGTTTCCAGCCACCACCTTTGTTCTACAAAGGAGCTGAAGGACCTGAGCCTCAGACTGGAGCTCTCCAACCAACTCTGCCCAACCCTCACCTCCCCTGAGGCAAGAAGGGCAGGCAGTCAGCCCAAGTCTCAGAGAGCAGCTACTGAGCAGGATCACCAGCCGCTGTGTGCATCAATTCCATACAGGGGAAATGGAGGCACCCAGAGGGGACCCCCAGGACCCCTTCCTAGGGTGGGCGCCTCTCCCCAGGTGACAGAAGCAAATTCAGGTACCTTCTGGCGTTGGTGTCAGATGAGTCATATGGTGACAGTGGGGGCAGGGTGTCCACAGTCAGCGTGTGCCTGTACCCTCTAACCATCATTGGTGTAAGCCAGGAGAAGGTGGCAAAGGAGAGCAGCCCTGCATCGTCTACCGGGTTGGATGCCAACCTACAGACAAATGCAATACTCAGTGTTTCTGGGTGTTGGGGTCATTGCCCTGGCCCCCTGGTTTGACTTAGTAACCACAATAATAACCACAGCCACACTTAGAACCTGGGACTTGCATTCATTAACCCTGGGGCCAGTTTATACAAGCTCATGAGAGACATTATTAAATTTTCAGGAATTTTGCAAGTCAATTGCTAAACGCAGCCAATATTCAAAATTAAGTTACATAAATTTAAATAAATTATCCAAAAGACAAAGGTGGCTCCACACTCAGATCTCATCACTTCCTAATTATGTTACTATTATCTGTTTTCTTGAAGTTATTTGCATCTATTTATCATCTTTACACTGGAAATACCATGGGATGGGATGGTACCAGGTATCTCTTCCCAACTTTGTATTCAATAGCATCAAAATTGACCATGGTAGAGTAATTTACATAACAATAATTGGTAAGTGTGGTAAACCAATGATTTTTTTTTCAGTGAAATGGTTGTTGAACATTTTGCCAAAGCTTGAGCCTCATGATCATCTCATGGGAAGAAGGGCACTTGTCATGTTTGACAAATGAGGAAATGAGAGACCCATTAGTTGACCATCAGAGGGGTCAAGTACCCGTCTTTTGCTTTCCAGGGGACTGGTAAAGTCCAGAGCAGGGCATGCTACAGAGGGCAAGGCGTCCCAAGAAGCTAAGAGCTGAAGGGAAACTCTGGGCTTATTATGAGGACTGAGAGCACCGACACATACAAAGTGCTACCTAAGTATGACCTAACAGATAGAGGAGAAGACAGGGAAGGCAAAAAGGGCAGGAAGAAGAAATGGAGAGGAGCAGGAGGAAGAGGAGGAGGAGGAGGAGGAAACTGAAGAGAAAGAGGAGGAAGATGAAGAGATAAAAGGAAGAGGAAGGGAAGAAGAAAAGAGAGGAAAGAAGGAAAAAGGAAATGTGCCTAAGAAAGAAGAAGAACCAATGTTTTTGCCCTTGAGGAATTAATCGAGTAAGACAGAATAAAAGTCAAAGACACAGGGCATTAGCCACCAATTACTGAATGTTAGCTGTATCCCAGATGCCCAAGCTCTATATTGTGAGGAGGGTTCCAAGCAAGCTCAGGCTGGCAGTGTCCCCTGTCAAATGCACACTGTGTCTATTCACCATTGTTTCAGAGCTTTCTCAGGTGCACCAGTGTGCAGCCCATCATTGCAGGGAGTTCATTCCCCCCAGGGTCAAACCTGAACTAAGAGTGTGTTAGACCTTGGGTCAATACTCCCACCTCACATCCTTTGGGTAGGAGCTTGGACCCTTCTCAGGAGTCGAGTCCCCCTTGCCTACAGCAGTGGCCCATCCCATGTTGCCTTTTATTCCTTCCCTGTATCACTCTCCCTAAATCTATATCCCTGCTTCTTGGAGGGTGGAGTGGCCAATTAGCCCCCGTTGCCCCTATCCAACAGCCAACCAAGCTCAGGAGCACAGTCACCTTGCTGGGCAAGGGATGCCTAAGACCAGATGAACTACCCCCAACTAACTCAGCCCAAGTTGCTTTACTTTATGGGCCGCCCATAAAATTATAAGCTAAATGGCAATTGTCTTAAGCCACTAAGTGTTGGAGGAAGTTTGTTAAAAAAGTAAAGGCTGTCTCCAGGCAAGTTATTTAACCTTTCTTGTGCCTCGGTTTCCTCTCCTATCAGATAAAGACAATACCAATACCTCCAGGGTGGTTATGAAGAGTGAATGAGATGTTAGCAAAGCACTTGTGCAGGTCCTGGCACATGAAAAGCTCTCTTTTAATGTTTGCTCTTGATTCCCCTTCATCAAAGGACTGGAGGAGACAGGAATTGGGTGATCAGGAAGAGGGTACATGTGCAGATGGGTGGATGAACAAAGGACAGACATGCAGAGCAACACATTTTGGGGGAGGAGGGCAGTGCCCACTCTGCTCATGGGCTCACAGCTGTCCCTGGGTCAGATCCTGTCCTGACTCCACTTCAATCCTCCTCTGGACTTACCTTGCATAGGGACGCACCGGGATCATGGTCTTCAGGCTGGGGTCATATCTCTCTGAAAAGGACCTCCGCTGGCCTCGCCGATCCAGATCAGAGATAAGATAGGGTCCTTCCCCAACCATCATGAGGGCTCTCTGGACCCCTAGGCCAAAAGCCTAGGGACACTTTTACTCTGTGGCAGAGAGATGGGGAAGGCTCACTGAGAAATGAAGACATCTGGAATAGTCAGACAGCTCCTACTCAACCCAGACCTGGTCCCCTGCATTGACCCCACAGACCTGGTTTTACCAACTCGCCATCCACATTTATGCAGGAATAGGACCCAAAGCCCCACCACATCCCTTAACTCCATCCTGATACCTCCCTCTTAGTAAGAGCATTTTGCTCCTCTTCTTTTCCCCTGTTGGGTTGAGTGGGAGCCAAAAAATCCTACTGTGAGTTTTCTGGTAGAAACCAGGCTGAATCCCAGCCTGGAAAAAATAATTTCTAAGAAACTGGGTTTGCACTCTTAGCATGATCCAAAGTGAGAGTTTTCACACCCCACACACCCTTTATTATCCCCTTTACCTGGATACCTACTGATAAGAGAACTTCAACCTCTCAGGACCAGCCCCATCTGGGCAGACCCACATTTTCCCCATTTCTGTGGTCCCTGCCCCCAATGGAATCAAACAACCCAGTTGGAGAGGACACTTTTCAATGTGGTATGTCCAGTCCACAAACCAAACACCTCATTCTCTAATCTCCTAAGGACTTCAGTCACTTCTTTTCCTGTGTTGGGTTGGTTGGGAGCTTAAAAGCTACTCTTGCTTTAGGATCCCATGACATTCCTCTCCCCATATCCTAGAAATAAATTCTCCTTTTATTTTGTTTAACCTCACCTCTGTTAAGTTGGTTCCTGTCACTTGCAATCAGAAGCTTTAATATTATATACACAAAGAAGTCACACCCCCATGAGTTCTCTCCATAAGTTGGAATAGACCAATTCCCACCAAGGTATTAAACATACAGTATGGCAGAGCTGGGAGTATCCTCGGATGCAAACTTTTCCAAAGTCCTTATTATACAGAAAAGGAAACACGGGTCCAGAGAGAGGAAAGATTTCCTCCAGTGTTATATGGAGAAGAATGTCACCATCTCATCTGGGGCAGTCTAGAAACAAGGGAAACTGAGACTCCTTACTTTCTGCAATAACCTTGGGAAATCCCTTGCTTATATTACAAGAGGTACTTCTCTGGGAAAATATGATGGTGGTTTTTTTTATTAAAAAATATTTTGAAAATCAAAATGTCTTTATCACAAAAACACAAATTCTCCAAAGTGGAAACGGAAGCCTTGTAGTCAGCTGGAAGAGGAGGCACATGCAGTAGATCTGCTCAGAATTTCTCCAGTCATTCAGTTAGTGAATTCTCATTACCTGTATACCACAGACCCAGCTTCTAGATTCCCGATTCAATCAGAAAATTCGAAGTTACCAATCAAACTCACTACTGCTTGCGTGTACCCTACTCTGTACTCCACTCRGTTTACACCAACTAACACTGAGCAYCAGCCCAGCTGAGAGTCTCAACACTCCCCAAACAAAGTGCCAACTCCTCCTTCCTTGGGGTCTTTGTACTCACCACTGCCACCATTGGAACAATCTCCTATTCCTCCCTTCTCTGGACCAACTCCTGCTCAGCCATCAGGGCTCATTTCAGACCCATCTTTTTCTGGGAAAACTTCCCCACATACTTTTCTATTTACCCAAACAGACTATGAGCTTTCATGTCAACCTCTTTCACAGCTATATTTCTCACCTGGCCCAGTTCCTACATGTACTAGATGTTCAATACATATTTGTCAAATGGATCACTAGTGATGAGTAAGACAGTAGTCTAGGACAAATCCCCCTACAAGGAGAAATTAATACACAATATCACACAGTATAATGTGAACCACAGTATTATATTAGCCCTAGGGAAAAAAAATACCATAAAAGGGGGTTAAAGATAAGAAGTTTTAATCAAGTTAATAGAATGGAATAGTAAATAATAGATTAACCCACCCCCMAAAAAAGATAGGCAAGTAAGAACAGAGGAAGAAAAACAGAAGGAATACATAGAAAACCAATAGCAAGCCAATAGATTTAAACCCAACCTTATAATTATTGCGTTAAATGTTAAAGGACTAAATATTTTAGTTAAAAAAACAAAGATTGTCAGACAAGGTGGAAAAGCAAGATCCAATGATGTGCTGCCTGCAAGAGGTGTATTTTAAATATAAAGACATTAGTGGTTGAAAATAAAAGGCTAGAAAAAGAAATTCCATACTAACAGTAAGAAGTGATTAGATGTATTTATGATCTTCAAATAAGGAAGGATTTCTTAAAGAAAATTCAAAAAGTAAGTCATAAGTTTGAAACTATAGATGTCTGTTCATCAGAAGGCACAATGTTTAAAAGATTTGCTGGTATAAATGTGATGCATTTAATTATAAAGAATTAGCATGCAGAAATCAAAGCATTTTCAATACATTAATAGAATAAAACACAATCAATTAAAAAAGTGAGAAAAAGATAGAAATAGGCAACTGATAGATGAGTCAAATAAACACAAGAAAATATGTTCAATTTCTAAGTGCCAGGGAATTGTGGATTAAAACCAAACTACAGTAATAACCATGTGTCATTCTTCAAATAGGCAGTATTAAAAAGCATAAAAACTTCACATACCAACCCTTAAATCCTGATGGTGGGGCTATAAATTGAACAATATGGCATTACCCGGTCAAGTTAAAGATTGTCTTACTAACAAAGCTACCTTATCCTCCCTGGATATGGACATGGCAGGGGAAATTCTGCCTGTCCAAGCAGTCATATACAGAGTGGCCACAAACTTTGCAAGATCTTTTTCATTTTCCTCACAATTCTCTAGCCTCTCTTCTCTCATACTTACTGGTGTCAACACGGAAGTTAATCTAAAAAAACACAAGGAAAAAATCTACAGAGGATTTAATCTCATACAAAATATATCTTTATAGCCCCTCTACAAGAATATTTGAAGTAACTCTGTTTACAGCATCTCAGACATCTGCAAATAGAAAAATGGATGAGCAAATTGTATAATATGAACAGAGTATATTACTATTCAATGCTAAATATTAATGAGCTAGGTCCACACATCAACCTATGTGAATGTCACACACAATAAATTGAGAACAAAAAAATAAATAAATTGCAAAAAAATTGCACTCTGAAATAACTACACAAAGTTCACATACTTTCAAAACAATAAATATATATATATATATATATTTTTACCAATAACTGTATTTGCAATACAATTCCACTTCTCCAGGTACCCATGACTCCTTTTCCTGGAGAATGATATTAGAAACCAAGATCTGGGCACTAGGTTTTTTCTTTGTTATTGGAGTACTTTTGTTTCTGGGCCCTCTCAGATGATGAAACAAGGAATATATGTGTGTATATTGGCTAGTGCAAATGCACATAGCTATAAATATTTCTATATGTAACTATCTGTATCTATTTTAAGATAAGCATACTGATTCTCCAACTTTAATCYATTACCATAATTGTCCTAATTCTAGCATCCTCTCCTTGCTTATCTACAAACTCCAAATCTAAAAGTGAAAAACCTGGTTCTCACCATCCACTATCCATTTACTTAATTATCCAATTAAGTATACATGCAGAGCAGCATCGAAATTATCAACCTATTACCCTGTAAGAAACAACTTAACTAGAATACAATGCTTCCAAGAGTTCAGTGCAATATAGAAAAAAATAATAATAACTTTACAGTGAAGATAACCTGACAATCACCACCTCAGCCAGGTGATATCGGGRTCAGTATCAAGAGTGGTAAGTCATGTGGATAATATGTGCCCTTGAAATGATGTGATGAGAACAATCTTCYTCCCCCAAACCTATAATCCCAGCCTAATCTTGAGAAACACAGGAGACAAATACTGGTTGAGGGACATTCCTGACCAGTGCTTCTTACAATTATCAAGGTCGGGGCTGGGATGTAGCTCAGTGGTAGAGTATATCCTTCCCATTCATGAGGCCCTGGGTTTAATCCCCAGAACCAAAGCAAAACTATCAAGGCCATCAAAAATAAGTAAATGACACAGCCAGGAGGAACTTAAAGGAAACAGAACAACTAAAGTGGTATCTTGGATGAGATCTTGGAAYAGAAAAAAGACAATAGATAAAAACTAAGAAAAGCTAATGTAGCAATATTTGTTTGTGAATTAGAATACACATACTGTGATAAGACAGGATATTATATGTAGGGAAAACTGGATGTGGGGTATGTGGGAACTTTCTGTACTATTTTTACAGTTTTTCTATACATTTAAAACTTTCTTAAAAAATAAAGTTCAGGGGCTGGGGTTGTGGCTCAATGGTAGAGTGCTTGCCTAGCATGTGGGAGGCACTGGGTTTGATTCTCAGCACCACATATAAATAAATAAAGGCCCATCAACAACTAATATTTTTTAAAATAAAATAAAGTTCATTTTTAAGAAATTCAACATGATGGCTACCTCTGGGTGTAGGGAATGAGGCCTGAAAGTTACACAGGGATGCTCCCTGTCGTAATATTTAATCATAAGCCCTGCAACCAGGCTGCATATGCTCAGTGTCATTGAGTCATGCAGAACACCTGTGCTAGAGAAGATCCTAGGACAGAGAGGTCAGCATGATCTGGAAGGAGGATGGGATTAGAAAGAATGCCCTGGGGGAGGTGAGACTGCATCTGGGTTATTGCAGAAGAAAGGAAAGGAAAGAAGAGTTTGAGAGAAAGCCCAGACCAAGGCTTTTGGCCAAGGCTGAGTGTGTTTGTGGAGCTGCAGAGCGAGGTTCCTAAGGGGACCTTACCATGTGCAGCAAGCTTTGGTAAGAGAGTCAAGAAACAAGGCTGGCATAAGGAAGAATGAAATTATGGCATTTGCTGGCAAGTAGATGAAACTGGAGAATATCMTGCTAAGTGAAATAAGCCAATCCCAGAAAACAAAAAGCCAAATATTCTCTCTGATATGTGGATACTGACACATAATAAGGGGTGTGGAGAGGGAAGAATAGAAATTCATGGGATTAGACAAAGGGGAATGAAGG